ACAAAACCAGACAGAGTCAGCTAATCTGCTCTGAGCAAAGCAGGAAGGGGCAGACTTGCTCATGCTCTCACTTTTCTTTGTGTGTTTATCGGGTTTGAAAGTGTTTATTCTAACAAAGCAGGTGAACTAGGAACCATATGCCATGCCTGTGATAATCATACTAATCATTGCTTATCATAGTTCTTCCAAAGACCTTACTACAGTCTCTTGTTTAACAAGAAAACATCAGACTGTTTGATCAAAGGGGTAAACCTGTACGTTTTTTTGACTATTGCATTGTGTACGTTTCCTAGGAAGAAGTGTGGTCATACTGCAGAAATCCAGCTCACACGAGTGTCATCTTTTAAAGGGGCTGTCAGTGCTCCCTGAGTATAGGAGCAGTGAATAAACAATCAACTCGTCTGAAAGTTTCAGCCCCTTGTCAGAAAGGAACTTGTTTAATGACAGAACAAGCAGATGTTTACTCTATAATAGCACCTTTTTCTTCTGTTGGATGCCAAGATATCAGATGCATGAATGATTTTTGTAGAGTTGCCTGACTTTAATTTAAAAAAACAGTAGGGAACCCTCAAGCCCCTGATGATAAATGTTACAAATTTTTGCATGATTCTCTTAATGCTTCAGCCAGCGACGTTTGGATTTTCTCTGAGCATTGCTCTACAGTAACTGCTAGATTGCTTTCCATCCCTCAAATATTTTTTGACTACTGCATTACAAATGCAGTTTTCAGCCCAAATCTGCGCTTTAATGCAGCTCTTCATACTAAAATAGAAATAAGACTGGAAGGGATGATGTGACTGGCTTTGCCCTGAGGTAGCTGTGAAGCTAGTTGGGAACATGTGTAAGTACTTCAGAAACGAGCAATGCAAAATGTGACCTGAAAAGGTATTTATTGTTCCTTCCTGCCTGAACCTTTTCAGCCTGAGACCTGGTAGGATTTAGAGACCCAGTAGGATTTACATCCTTATTTCTTTGTCCTTTAGTTTTGAAGAGGAGAGCTATTACTTGTCAGAACAAAAATTTACTAATAAGAGTATGAAACATATACTTGAGTCTTCCAAAAACAGACAGTTTGGAGAATATAGCAAGTCTGAGCCTAGTTTTCCAGCTCTGCTAAAATGCTGGGAATCACTTTACTAGAACTGATACCTCTGTATCTTAAGGGGAAATTTTGAGTCAATTCCTAAATGAAAGATATAAGCAAATTAAGTGTCTTTTGTTTCCTGAATACAGCATCTCCACCTCTGTTCTTAGTTGCTATTTTATTATGTACTTTGTTTTCTGGGTGAAACTTAGCGTAAAGAAGTGTCCCAGGGTGGATATTTGTGCTTAAAAGGATAGGAAATCAAATGTCACGTCACTCCTGCTGTGTTACAAACAAAACAACAAAGTAATTTTCCCTTCTTAAGATAAAAAATAAAGGAGGAAAACAGAGTTGGTGCTCTTAGCCTAATTGAAGAGTATGTTTCAGGCACAGCATCTTGTGCAGCAGTCTATGTAACGAGGTTGCTTTTAATGTCATGTTAGAGCCTGCCTCGTTTTCCAAGGGGAATCCTGGCTGCCCTTGTCATCCCAGTGTGGGCATACTACAGCACGTTATCTCCAAAGATGTATTCTGTCCTTATTCCCTTTGATCCCAGCCTTGCTACTGCTTGTCTCCTGTGCCAGAATCGAATAAGCCAGGTTATCTCACCTTTCTGCTCCTGTCTGCCCCATTCATCTGGCATGTCGTTCTTATCTATCGGGATTAATTTTGTCTCTTGGTGCAGCTCTATCAGGATGAATCCGTTCCCCTGGCTGATAAATGGACTCAACCTGGGCTTACACGTGCTGTCCATGCCACACGTGCTCCACTGTAGGTTATTTACAGAAGTAATTTATTATGCCTACTGCAAGAGGGCAGGCAAGGCTGCTCTACGCTGCGTTCCCCTTGGCACCCAGCCAGCTTGCCACAGAATTCACTAATCTGGGCTTTTTCGTGTCTGATTTGAAAGGCTTAGCCTGAGCAGGAGAGGGAAGAGTTTGTCCCAAAGAGAAAGGAGGGGGCTAACCCAATAGGGAAACGATACAGATGCAATGGGGTGATAGAGCATCCATTTTTATAAAGCTTTTTGGCTGTAACTCCTGATGGGGGTTGAGCATAAGGAAAATTTGGAAGATTGAACCGCATGTACATTCTGGTAGCTTGTGGATATCAACACAGTTCACTTTCTGTTATGTAGGGTTCAAATTTGAAGTGTTCATTCAAATTGAAAACAGTACTGAGATAACTGATAGGTGACCAGCTATGGGTTTAGGTAACTAACCCTGAGCCTCTCTAGGAAGGAAGACTTCCTGGAAGAGAATCGATGATGTGTCTTTATTCCTAAATAGCTCACTGGCTGTATATTTATACTGACTTATTTTAATATTAATATAATTATAATTGTGTAACTCTATGGGTAAATGCCTGTGTAGATGAGCCCTAGATTCCCAATGCTAGGCAGCCTGGAATTTGACACAGAAACTGAGGAGGTGCTGCTTTAGTAATGCTGCTATGGAAAGGTTGAACTTAAACTTAACAGCATGCAGTTCTGGAATGAAGAACTCTTAACCAGAAAATATTTGGTTAATGTGTTCTTTACTGAAAAGAACTGTTACTTATCACAGTAAACTAGCATACTGTTGGTATTTTAAAGGATGCAATTGCTAGGGTTAACAACAAGGGCAGAAAGTCAGAGGCTTAAATGTTGCCTGTTCTGGCCTGACTGAATGCAGTGGAGTGACTCAAATGACATCTTGCCTGGTGTTCAGGAGAAAGCTGTTGAAAAATGACTGGCAGAAAACTTTTTTCGAATTATCATTCTTATGTTTTCAGCTTCTTGCCTTCTGTGAGGACTCAGTGTTTGTTTCTGTTTTTTTCTTTTTTTTTTTTTTTTTTTTCCTAGGAGTAGTCTGGAAGTTACTCAGTTAATGCAATAAATTGTATGAGTTTTGTATAATGCTGGAATCCAGAAACCACATCAGTTTTACATTTGTCTTTGCCCTGAGGTTTTTTCCTTTAATTGTGACAAGGACAACAGAAAAACTAGGATTTGGGCCAAAGCAGGAAGCTTCAGGAGAACAGGGAGCATGATATGAGGGGAATTTAATTCCTAGAGGTCTCATTCTTATAAAAGCAAAAAAGCAAGTAATGCTCTTTCTACAGCAAGGTAGGATTTGGTGCTGCAAGTTGGAGATCAATCGCTAGAATAGAATCTCAGTGCCCTAGAAAGGGAATCTATAGTTACACCATACCTTTTCCTCACCTGCAATAAGGTCAAAATAAGTCAGTGCAGCTTGGATGGATTTTTTTTAATGCTAAAAGAGCTGATGCTATAGTAGGGCTCTTTCACATATTGACCACAGACATCTATAGGAATGAAGCTGAGGCAGCAGAAAACTGCTAGAGTGATGCAATGCCTCAAAGATTCCAGGGTTAATCCCCCTGGAATGGAAAAAAGAGCTGTATTTGAAAAACAAATGAAAGATCCCAGTTAACACTTTATATTTCTGAAAATTTAAAGTAATGAGAGTGGGTTACAGTCTTATTTTAACTGTAGTGGAGTTGTACCAGAAGTCACGTTACTGTAGATATTTGCTCTCACTTACAGGAGATATTTCTATTAAAGGCATTGGAGATTGTAGGATGCCTACCTCTCATCACTTGAAACCCCTCTGCAGCTTTTGAGATTACCAAATTATTCTGGCAGGCTACAGGAATTGGAATTGCCTTTATAGCTGAGGAAAGGGAAATATAGGGAAGTAGAAAAAGCTGCATAAGATTATATAAGAAGTCAGTAGCCAAAGTAGGAGCTGAAACCACAACTGCCCAAGCCCTTGTCTGAGGTGTTAAAAACAAAAGCTCTGTCCTCGTCTTCATTTCCATTGCCTGTATTAAGTTCATGCAGGACAAGGGCACGATAGAAAATCGAGAGGCCTGGATTTCTGTAAGTGGAGCAGTTACAGTCAGGACTGAATTGGCAAAATTCTGCATTGCCACAGCTATCAACAGAGAGGACTGCGTGCCAGCAACCAAGCAATGCAGGCAGGGCTTCTTTTAACAAAGACAACTGTATTCATGCTGTAGACACCGTATCTTTGAAGTGGTGCTTCTCTGCTATGTAAGGAAGCAAATCGATCATGTTTTCAGAAATGCTCAGTGACTCTTGAAGAGCCACATAAACAGCTGAGTACTTGAAAACAGGCCACAAACTAGCAAGGTCATCAGCAGATGTAAGTAAGCAATGCCTAGCTTTGCTTGGAGCACTCGGATTTGAAAAAAGAAAAAGCAAGGAGAACTTGTGGGCTGTGGCTGCTAAGTCAGCATTAGGAAAAGGATAGTGAAAGGCTTCCTTCCCTTGAAATGACTTGAAGTACAGAAAATTTCAGGATTCTTTTTAGTTCAGGAGGAAGTTGCTGCTGCTCTAGCTCTGGCAATACCCGGTTTTGAGTTGTTAGCCAGCAAAAGCCCTGAGTGGAGGCAAGCCTTTGGCTGTTATTTATTCTCTCCCAGGTCATACAGTGGTTGCATGCCGGAATGATAGTGTCCTCTCATGTCCCAGTGTGCAGGGTGTGAGTGATCTTGTTGTGGCTCAGCTAGCCGTGTTTCTTCAAAAGAAGACACCAGTATTCAGTCTCTGCTTCAGCTTTTCTTTCTGATAAAACAGAGTTGTACCTTGATAACAAAACCAAACCACATACAGCTGTATTAATTGGGCTTTTTAGTTAGCATGGAACTTCAGATGAAGGGGCCAGAGCTGTTGCAGATGGGGCTAAAGGGAATGTGCTTTAAGCACAGGCTTCCTCAGAACAACAGTGTCTTCTCCTTGGGGAGTAGTGCTTGTTTTTTAGTGCATTAAACTCTATCATAGCTGTGGCTGAAGCATCCTGGAATCCATGAGTATTAATGGAAGCAGAAAAGCCACGAAAAGGGAAGGAAACGATCATTCACTCATCTGAAACTTCCTCTTTCATTTCAGGGACTTTCTGCCACGTGGTTCTGGCATCGTAACCAGACGCCCGCTGGTCCTGCAGCTAGTAAACTCCAGCACAGGTATGTGAGCTGCCTCCCCGTGTGTCCAGCTGGATTCCTGTCCTAGTCTAGAAAGGTCTCGTTTGATCAATGACAACGCACAATGTGAAAAAATAAACAACTTTTCACCATAAAAATGACCTGCAGCTGGTTTTCAGTTCTGCCTGTTTAACATCTGATGCATTAAATATTGAGATGGAAAATGCTTCTCTGTTACTTTGTTTGATCTAAGCAGGGTTTCATGCATATAGTTGTCATGGTTTTTCTCTGTCTGTGCAGCTGTGGCTCTTATGAATGGGTAAGACCCAAAAGCTAAAGGACCGTGTTGATAATCCTCTGAAATAAGGGGGTGAGATAACTTACTGTACTAAAAACTAAATGTGAGAATGCTGGGATCTGAAGAATGGCCGTAGAGTTCTGTGGCTGGTCTTTTGGGTTGTTCAGTTTTTTGCTCTCTGCTTGCAGGGTGTTCTCATTACTGTTCCCCTTCAAACATAAGATCTCCTGTAAGAACTCCTTGAGGAGGAGTTGACAAGTGACTGTTTCAGGGTATTCTTCTTCTCTTGTTGGGTGGGCTTGACCTGTTCACAACAGTCCTCTTGCCTACACGAAGAAGACAGCTTGACTTTTGCGAGGCTTTTTAAATTGAAATGGAGGGTTCTTGAATTAGTTGGCATAGTCAATGGCCAAAACCAAACAATAGGAAAAAAGCAACCAATTAAAAACTGACAGTAGATTTTTTTTAATTTATTTTACTTTTTTTGAGGCTCTCTTGTCTGTTCTTATCATGTAATGAAACTATTATTTACCCCCAGTACTTGAATACAGAGCTAGTCCAAGTTCTGAATACAAAGGTATCTCCCAATGCAGCTGTGGAAATCACACTTGTAACTTCTGTTACACTTTTGACTAAATTTCGTGTACTCTAGTGACCATCTCTGCCTCTGCTTCTGTTTTTAAACAGAATATGGTGAGTTCCTACACTGCAAAGGAAAGAAATTCACAGATTTTGAGGAGGTCCGTTTGGAGATTGAGGCTGAAACGGATCGTGTTACTGGCTCCAACAAAGGGATTTCCCCTGTGCCCATTAACCTCAGAGTCTATTCTCCCCACGGTGAGTCTTAATACATTCTCTGAAGTCAGGGAATAAGTGAGGCAGGTTACTGCCTATTTGTTATAATGTAAAGAGAAAGATGAATTGGCGAGTGTGCATTCAGTCCCCATACACCTGGCCTGTGGTGCATCAACCTGCCAGTCTTTGCCATGTTTCTAAAAGTTGTCTGCCAAGTGAAGTATCTGACTGCTAACAGAGCTGCTCCTAGAAGCAACTGATGTCTGCAGAACCTTCTTCCTTAGGAGACTTTTCCTTTCCATCAGTATTGACATCACTGTGAAGTTCTACTTTCTTGCCTGCTTTCTGGGCAAGGAAGTGGAACTAAAAATGATGGGAGAAGGGTGGCTTTCCTGCAGAGCATTTGCCTTCTATTGGTATGTCAAGATGTATTTTGCATAGAGCTCTTCGGATAATGTTCAAACCAGAAGCCTCTGATTTCAGTGTAAGAATTCTGCTTAAACAAGTGAGTGGAATGGCACAAAATTTGCAAGCTCTTTAAATGTGAATAGCTCTTTGGGCATTGTTGGGAAAGCAGCAGCTTGGCACTACATCAGCAGTAGGCTGCATAGAACTTCTGCTTGATTTTTATTTTCTAATTTTTCCTCAGTGAGACAATCAAACAGTTAGGGCTGCATGTTGCATCCTTCAGGAGAAGGCCTATGTAACTTTGACAAGAGCCTATTGAGTGAGGGCTGCAGGACTGAATATTTTAATACTGGGGACAGCTAATGCGAACTAACTCTTCTGACTGTCCAGTCTTTGATATGAAGTAGTAAAAATGTACTGTTATCCCTTCCCCTTCAGTGTAGCCAGTATGGAAGGACTTTTGAGGTCAGTCCTTGATCAGTGTGAGCAAATGATTTAAAGGGAATAATGGCATTAAGTTCACTGACAATCATGATTAATGATAACTAGCAAATATTTTTTTTATTGAGCATCAACAAAAAGGAATTGGGAAACTCTGAATTCTTCTGAGTCATGTGCATCTTTTACACCTCTAATGTACTGAAGTCACTAAAGCAACAGGTACTCTATAGACCTGAGCATACCTACCTCAACACACTCATGTTCTATCTTATGTTTCCTATGTCTAGTCCTGAACCTGACCTTGGTGGATCTACCAGGTATGACAAAAGTCCCGGTAGGGGACCAGCCTCCTGACATAGAGTTCCAGATCCGAGATATGCTTATGCAGTTTGTCACCAAAGAGAATTGTCTCATCCTGGCGGTATCCCCAGCCAACTCTGATTTGGCCAATTCTGATGCTCTGAAGATTGCAAAGGAGGTGGATCCTCAAGGTAAATCTTGTATTCTAGCGTGGACTACTAGCCAGTGGCCCAGTTCTCCTTTTTGGTTGCAATTAGTCCAGTAGCTGTGAGATCTCGCCTGTTGTCTTAGGTGGTGGTATCCTCACCAACATATCCCCTTCTGAGAGGTGGTTGTGAGTCTTAATAGCTACTGCAGTAGAATTTCTTGTTACTCCACGTTTCTTCCTTTGAGCCCTATTTCTGAAGAGGTAAAAGACTTCCCTTCCTTTACTGTAGTCATCCACCTTGTGCCTAGAGGAAAAGCAGGAAAATCCCTGCACTTAAATCCCTCTCTACTGTGGCATAGCATGTCAGTGTTTTTGGCAGGCTGTAACTGAGAACTGACCTGTTATCATCTGGTCTGCTGTTGTGACCTCTTGGAATGATGGAAACTGTAGTGTTTGAGTTCAGGAGCCCTTTAGTAGTCAAGGTGGGTAGCCTGTAAGTTATTTGAATGGAGGAAAACATAACATGAGTCATTTTTGCTTGATCAACTGTATTCACTTTTTTCTGAAGGGCAACGCACTATTGGAGTCATCACTAAGCTGGATCTTATGGATGAAGGAACTGATGCAAGAGATGTACTAGAAAACAAATTACTTCCTCTACGTAGAGGTATATTTTATCATGTTTGTGATCTACTTCCTTTATTTTCCCTGTGTAAGGTATCCTGGCTTCATCCCTTGCCTTCTGTGATCCTGGAACATCTGTTAAAGCTAGTGCTTTAGGCTATCTCTGTTCCAAGCTGGAACTGAGAAAAGCTGGGGAATGGAGATTAGTCACACCTATGAAACTTTTAGGTGTTTGTAGTAGTCCTAGGTGATATTTAGTCCTAGCAGAAGCATAACCCTATACTGTTATATATACTAAATAAGCTAATTCTTGGTTGTATAGTTGCACTTATATCCTGCACACCAAAGTGTCAGAACGTGAGGTGTTCAGACGAAATTGTGGTTTAGACGTTTCCAATCGGTGCATAATAAAGTGTTGCCACTAAAACTTCCCTTTGTCAATGTTGACAGCTGGGTAACTTCCTTCTCAATCTGAATGCCACTTACATTCTCATCCTTGCAACTATATGCTCTTCAACCCCACTCCTGCAGGTTACATTGGTGTAGTCAACAGAAGTCAGAAAGACATTGATGGAAAGAAGGACATTCAGGCAGCTCTGGCTGCAGAGAGGAAATTTTTTCTCTCCCACCCCGCCTACAGACACATGGCTGATCGCATGGGAACCCCTTACCTGCAGAAAGTTCTGAACCAGGTACTGTTACCAGTTGAGAGCTGCTGCCCACTATGCCAAAAGGATGTCTAGGTTGCTCATTAGGGCTCTCCTGGGATGGAAAAATACAGAAAAACATAAAACTTCTGAACATTGTTTTGGTGCCATGGGACTTTTTGAAGATTGGCTTACTCTTCCTTCTCTGACTCATAAAAAGCATTTTGATGCCAGGTCTTGTGAAGTGTGCTTTGTCTGGATAATGTTGATAATTGAGCTCACGCACCAAGTGCAGAACACTGCTTTATCCTCTCAGTGATGCTGGTACAAAATCAGTAGCAGGCTTATGGCATTTGTCTGAATTTACACTATTGGAATGAATGCAAGGTGTTATTAGTTAAGCTAAAAGACAACCTCTAAATTTCTAGAGGTCTTTGCCTAATACTAAGCTGTGAAGATTGATTTAAATATGATGCTGGTAGTCATTTTCCCTTCCGTTAAGACTGATTCTTTAAGTGAAGAACTGTTCTGTCTTTCTTCTTTAATTACTTCTCTTTAAGTTGGATATTTCAACATCTGTGCTCTGTGGAAACCCCTTTATTGGACCCTAGTGTGTTTGGCTCCTTTCACCTTGCCTTGTCACCCTTTCCCTGAAAAAGGGCTTAACCACCACCCTCATGTGCACAGAACAAAGATGGGTGTCAGTGGTGTGATAACCTGCAGACAGAACAGCCTTTACCTTGGCGTGACAAATGCTGATAATTGTATGTGAAATTTATTCCTGATTGGAGTTGACAGGCTTGTCAGAATAGAAGGTTTGTGTTAGGCTAAAACAAAAAATGAAAATTAGGAATAAACGGGTGAAATAGGTAGGAGATGAGAAGGCAGGATACACCAAGCTTATAACTGGTAGCTGTACTGGGTTTGACTCTTTATTTGGACCACTCGGAGAACACAGCAAGAGTGGAATATTCTTCTTTATTCTGGGGTGCTGAAATAGCACACCCTTCCTGCTAACTGCTTACAGCTTTTATCTTGAACCTCTTTCCTCTGCAGCAATTGACCAACCACATCCGTGACACCCTACCAGGGCTGAGGAACAAGCTCCAGAGCCAGCTTCTCTCCATTGAGAAGGAGGTAGAGGAGTACAAGAACTTTCGTCCTGATGATCCTGCTCGCAAAACTAAAGCTCTGCTTCAGTGAGTGGCCTTAACTGCATGTCCCTCCCTGGAAGCAACTGTTCAGCCATGCCTTCTACTTCCTGCTTTTTGTTTTCTTGTAGGATGGTCCAGCAGTTTGCTGTGGACTTTGAGAAACGTATTGAAGGCTCCGGTGACCAAATTGATACCTATGAGCTGTCAGGAGGAGCTAGGATTAACCGTATCTTCCATGAGCGTTTCCCCTTTGAACTGGTGAAGGTACTGCTGAGATCCATTTTCTCCTTGCCTGTTTTTCACCTTCTCTGCCTGTCTTCCTACCTCTATTAGTATCTCTCACTATCTAGTTTTCCCTCTTCTGGTTTGTCATTTTTTTCCACTATCACCTCACTTTTTGCTTCATGTTTTCTACTTTATTGGAGCCTTCCCATAATACTGACATCTTCCTCAGTCCCTTGTGAAAACAACTTTCTCTATGTATTTAAATGCTACTCGTGCTTAATTCTTAAAGGCTAAATTAAATGTGCAAAATAACTTTTTAACATAGACAACAGCAAATCAATGTCTGATTGTCCTTGCAGATATGTAGATATCTAATTTAAGTCGCACGTAATGCAAATGGTTTTGAAACTTATACATCCTTGATCCTGAGCATCAGGCTGGGCATAAAGCCTCCTTAATGCATATGCAAGAAGCAGGAAAGAGGATGTAGATATACCTGGCCTTACTTATTTGTTCTCTTAAAAATGGCCTGGGGTGAGAATAGCGTAGAAACTGCTCTATAGTTGTCATAGCTGAAGAGGGTCTGTAGTGAATGATAGGTTTCCTGGATGGCCAAGTATACTAACCTGAGCAGAAGTGATAGGGAGAAAATCCTCTAATACCAGTTTGAATGAAGTTGGGAGCCAAAACATTCTAGTACTGGATCTCCCACATTTTGCTGCCTTCTTTTTCATTTAAATAAGATGAGGCCTTGTTAGTGGAATACAAGAGCGTGCCTCATATTGGACAATATATATTTGTATGTGAATTGTAAATCTGCTTGAGGTGTTAGCTGAAAAACAGCTGCCAAGACCTTATGCTATATCTCAGGAGACAAAACAGTTCATTGTAGAAAGCAATCTAGCGCTTCAGTCCTATTGCTTTATCTCTAAATAGCTCCTTGGGAGCTGCTGAGGGGTTGGCACCTGTAAATGCAGGCCCTTAGCTATTCATATTTGTCCAGGATATCTGTACTGACAGTAGAAGCTTTATGGCTGTACTCTGTATCCAACGCTTGGGCTAACATTTCATCCGTCACATGATGGTACTGGCATGGGACCTTTTTACAAAAACGTGCTGTTATGTATCCTGGGCTTGTGCAGACAACAGCATCAAATTGTTTCTGATTAAAAACTCTCTCTTGGTGCAGATGGAGTTTGATGAGAAGGAGCTGCGACGGGAGATTAGCTATGCCATCAAGAACATCCATGGTATCAGGCACGTATCATGCACTAGGCAGACCACTGGCTGCATAGCCTTGTAAATACCTCTAGACCTTCCGAATGGAGTTGAAGACTTCAGAGGTACGGTAGGTCAGCCAGAGGGGAGGGATAATTTCCTTGGACTCCCAAGTGGCTTGAATCTGGGAACAGGGACAAAGTAGCTTGCTTTCTGTTCCCATGTGAGTTGCAGAAGCCTAAAAGGTAAAACTGCCTTGGTGACTAGTTACTTTCTCCATTTTCCTTTCCTGTGTAGGAAAGGACAGGGTTGCAAGCCCATACCACTACTTCATTTAGTTTTAAATGTTGGTTTTCACTTTCTGCTTCCATTCTAACCATTACGCAAAACGGTTGGTAGTGCTGAACACCTCCTCCCCTAGAGATTTGAAGGGAGCATTAGGGTGCCCATCACCAGGATCCCAGTGGCCCCAGGATGTGAGTTCCAGTATGCAGGTAGTAAATACAGTTGCATTCTCCTCAGTGGAGGTTAACTTCTTGAAAACACATCTCTGAGACCCTGAGTCATACTGCTCCTGGGAAAGTGACTGGCCTCTAGTGCCTGTCGGGGCAGCACTGGTGTCCGTCTGGGATCCATTTTGCTCTCAGCACCTGCTTCCTGGGAGGTGCCAAGCATCCCCCATTTTCCAAGGCAGGATTTCTCTGAGGGGCGTGATGCTCCCCCAGCCCTGTGTGTTGGGTTTCGGTGATGGTGGTGCCTGCTCCGAGATGTGTGTGTAACTCTGTGACATTCTCCTTGCCCCTTCTCCCCCCCTCCTGCCTTGTCTTGTCCCCTATCCTGGGTGTTTAGAACCGGTCTCTTCACACCCGACATGGCCTTTGAGACCATTGTGAAAAAGCAGGTGAAGAAGATTAAAGAGCCTTGCCTGAAATGCGTCGACATGGTTATTTCGGAGTTAATCAATACCGTTAGACAGTGCACCAAGAAGGTAACTGGAGGCAGCATGGAGCTGGCACCTTCCACCCCCTCTCTGGCTGCGGCACAGCATTGTGACTGGGGCAGGGACTTGCCTGCAGCGACACTCGTGTTTCTGACCACCTCCTCAGCATGACTAGACCTGAGCGGTACCAGCCTGGGACAATCCAGCAAACAAGCCAAACAAAAGCACTGTGGAACACGGGCTATGGGCTTGTTCCCAAAAACCTTTACAGCAAAGGGGTGCTGGAGATGTTCCCCCCACACACCTCCAGTCTGTAGCACGACTCCTGATTCCTCCCCAAGCCAAGGGTATTTCTTATAGGGCCACATTTGACTTAAATTTAGTTTCTGGTTTTATTTTCCAAGCCAGAAACTGGGATTTAATTTATGTCCCCTCTCCTCTGCTAGAAATAGGAGGGTTAATCCCAGACAAGCCTTTAGTATCAGGGCAGGGTGCTGCTGGCTGGGTGTATGGGGCTGAACTTTGGAGGCTACCACAGTTACAGCTGTGGGCTGTATCACAGGGGAACGTTCCTGTGGTGTTTGGCTTGGTTTCTGGTTGGCTTGGTCCATATCCCGTTCTGGAAGAGCAGCACATGGCTGAGAAGGATCATGTTAGAAATGTCAATCTGCCTCTGGGCTTCTTCTGCCCTCTCCCTCAGAGAGGACTTCAAGCTTTGTCCTTTGGGATTCATACTGGTATTTATTGGGGCTGGGGTAAGGAAGCTGCCTTGATTCTGCACTCTGGATATGGCAGCTTTTGTGTGAGGCTGGGGCTGAAAAGCAGCAGGATAGGAAGACACATGCCATTCTTCTCAGCCATGGCTTGCTGCTTCAGCCAGGGCTGGGTACTGGTGAAAAGGCACCTGAGTTAGGATGGTAGCATGGGTACTGGAGACTGGAATCACCACTGGCTGTTCAGGTGCAGGTAAATGGGCATTGCAGGAGGTGTCTGAAGAGTCTGACACCTTCTCCCTGTGAGGGTGGGGAGAGGTGCCCAAGTGGTGATAGCTGCCATCACTTGGAGAAATGCTTAGCCCTTAGGGCCGGGAGCCTCTGTAGAAGGGCTCAGGCATGCAGACACAAGCTTTGCCTCCCAGAGTATCCCGGGAGAGCAAAGCAGTTGCAGTGAGATATTGCTCAGGTTTCTAGAGTGCTGGAGGAGCTTCCTTTTTCTGTCCTGCTGTTCTCTCTTGGGGTATGTGACTGTGGGGAGCACCCAGAAAATTGCCATTAGAGCCTGGTGACAGGTAAGCACAGGCCCTCAGGCTGCCAAGTATCCAGAGTCACCTGCTAATTGGATCAGAAGGGCATTCCTTTTCAAGCCCTCTGAAGCTTCTCTTGGTTTGTTCCTCATCCATCAGTTGTTGCGCAAAGCATCCTATTCATTCTGTTTGCATCCTTCCCTCCATTTCTCATTGTTCATCTCTGTGTTTCTTCTTTTACTGACGCTTCTAGTAGCGAAGAGACCATCTGTTCTGACAGCAACAGGTTTTCCTAGTCATCAGGTGGTGGGTACAGTAGGGTGGGAAATAAGAGGAGAAGACCACAGGAATGGAGTGTGTGTGGGGGGGGGTTGGAGAGGGGAATCTGTGAGGGGCCACCTCACAGACTCAGGATTAGTGTTCTGTTTTAGTTTAGATCCCACTGCTAAGCATTTGATGGCTGACTGCAGCGCTGCTTGCTGTGTTGTGTGCTAGTAGTCATGGTTACAGCTTTCTGTCTGAAGAAACAAAATACTGGCATGCAGGTGGTACCCAGGTACTTGAAGGAACTGGTTTTCTCCTTTGTGAAAGGCCCCCTGAGTCTGGTCTTTGAAGTGATGCACATAGGGGAAATGGCGTGCACTGAGTTTAGCTGACTAGATTAGTAGGAATAAGGAATCAAGTCAGAGGGTGCAAAGGAAGCTCTGACAATGCCTTTGCTTTGATCAAAAGAGGCTGCTTTGGCACCTTGAGAGAGGCCCTTGGGTAAAGCCGAATCCTCTAGTGTACTCCAACCCTCTCTGCTACTTAAAATGCAGATTACGGTAGGTCCTACAATATGCATTGAAGTATTTTAATGGAGTGGTGTCACTTGGGGTCTTGCAGATGTTATCTACGGAGATGAAAGATGATGTGAAGGGCTAAATATCTGATTTAGATGGAGTGATGTCTAGTTATAGCTAGACCTGGATTAATTGTGAGCTGCAGACGCCACAGTTTGACTATTAATTGTGCCTTTAAAAAAGCAGGATCCCACCCCTATGTCAAGGGGGTGTTGTCCCCTTGAAAGCACTTTCAAAGCAGTTAGTATGCTGTGCAAAGAGAAGGAACCTGAGTTCCTGAGTGACACAAAAAGCACCCCGGTAAAAGCTCTGAAGTGTTATGGATGTGCTGGAGAAACTTCTTTGGTTGCGGATAATAGCCTTGAAGTGGAATAACTTGGCCATGTTTTAGTAATTGCAGTTTCTGTGGATTTTCTGTTTCTGTCGTAGTAAAGGAACTGAGAATACAGAGCTCTTTGTATAGCATCAGATAGTATGGAAACTCATACTTGGTTATATACTTCAACAAGCCTGTTTTGGGCCTGATGCTGCAGGTTAGCTGATGCAGGACAGATGCTTTGTGTAGCTGTGGATGCCTTGTAGCATGTTTGTGTTTCCCTAAACACTGGCTTGCCTCTGGTTTTACTGAGAAAGCTAACTGTTGTGGGAAAGGTGAGTGAGATAAAAGACACTGTGTAAGTGGAGCAGTTATCTTAATCTCTGAAATCGAGACATCCGCTCAGTTCAGTTCTCAGGCCAGCACAAGGTGCAAGTGACAGACCTTTGCAAGTCTTGGCTTGGCTCCTATTCAGGCCTCCCGCACCTGAAATGAAAGCATGAAAGGGGTAACCACAGTGGGAAGGAAAGGGGAATACCTAGAGACAAAGGGAAATAAGACACGGTGAGCCTCTAGGAAACAGTCTGGCTTGCTGTGGCAAGCAGCTGCGTCTTAAAATCTGCATAAGCTTGCCTTCAGGAAGAGATCGCTTGATCCCTGGGGACTTCCATCCATTCATTTTGCTCTCGACAGCTCACCATTTCACCAGCCAGCTCTTCCTCCCTCCCTCTGCCACTTCCATTTGCCTGTAGACTCTCCTGATACTTGGCAGTGCGCAGGCCCCATAGCAATGCTCACCTGGTTCAAGAAGCTAATGGAGAGAACCAAAGATCTCACTTCTCATTTTGCCTTGTTTTCTCTCTTTTCCCTTTTCCTTCCTCCTCTCTCCTTCTTCCTGCTCTTTCTCTGCTTCGCTCTCTTCTTCCCCGTTGCTTCCTCCCACCCTGCCCCTGCCATGCAGAACGGGTCTCTTCACGCCTGACCTCGCTTTTGAAGCCATAGTGAAAAAGCAGGTGCAGAAGTTGAAGGAGCCGAGTCTGAAGTGTGTGGATATGGTAGTGAGTGAGCTCACATCCACCATCAGAAAGTGTAGCGAAAAGGTAAAGAAACCAAAAATACAAAGAAAGGTCAACGCCCACGCCCCTTCCCACACACATTCACGCTGTTTCTCCACACGTACCACAGGAACTCAGCAAAGCTAGTGAGAGAAAATGGGTATGAAGATGCAGCTAAAGGAGAGCAGCAGTCTGCAGGCATCAGTGCAGTTCAAAAGCAGGCCAAGAGGAGTGGAAATTAGCTGATGGGCTCTTCAGCTGTTAAGTGAGCTGGGATCCAGTGGATTATTTTGTAGTGAGCCCTTTTCCTCTTTCTGGCCCAGTGGCACTCACCTCAGTGTGGATCAAATCCTTTGCAAGCCTGGTTTGCTGTGCCACTGCTTGCATATTTGGAACTTCTTGCTTACTTTTTAATGGGACCCCCTGGAAAAAACAACAACAAAAATATACTCTAGAAAAATATTTAAAAATAAAAAGCCAGAAAAGACCATGTGTTTCCCCCCACAGCACAGGTGGTCTGCAGGTTTCAGCTTGGCTACAGAGCTGTGCTGAGCAGTATCAGGCACAAAACAACCATCAGTTAAAGTCTGAGGTGCAAGAGATTCAGTGTCAACAGACTACTGGCCCAAAAGACATTTTGCGGGGGAGGTAGGGGCTTTTCCATACATTGCACCCTTTACATCATTCTCCTGCTGATGCCTCGCTCCATGGACTATGCTCAATTGAGGTAGTGTAGATATTTTTTATTTTTACACTGTAAACAGCAAGAGCCTTAAGCTAGCAGAGGGCAGCAGCAGCTCGCTGAGTGACATGGAAGGTGTCAAATGAATACTGCCTGGAGGTTGGGGCAGGAGTGGGTTTGGTTCCCAGGCTAGTTTTGTCCAGGAGGGGGCACCACATGCCTCCTGAAAATAAAGGGAGAGTGGCAATTAATTTGTGTGGAACTTAGATGTGAGGGGCCAGAAACAGGTCTGTAGCACAATAGTGGTATGCTCCTGGAACTGAGTTGGAAAGGGCTGTTTCACTGGTTATTTTAAGACATGAAAATTACAATCCTATTCTTGCAGGGTTGTAGCCAGACTCACAATCATACAGCCCAAAATTGGGAAGGGAGGATAACTGAGTTCAGAGTGAAGTTGAGAGCTAAGCTGTTGAGGACTAATTGTACTTGGGAACACAGAACTCAACTCCTGAGTTCGGTCTGCTGTATTTCTTGCGGAGTGCTGCTGTTGCCAAATAGCTGTGGCAAGGCAGAGTAACTCCTTTCCAGCCTGTTTCACTTGTGGGTTTTATTTTGGTGGTTTTGATTTTGTTTACACTGTTTTCTATATCTGGCAGGAGATGTATCCTGTAGGTAGGGGAGGGAGAAGAATCATGAGAACCTCGTGTGTTAATACCCAACAGCTGTACTGGGCAATGTCATTAGAGCAGCTGGACACCCACTGGCTCTGTAGATTTTAATCTGACGTGGTAGAGGACCCCATGGGGATGTTCAAAGATGATGCAACTGATATATATATATGCTATAAAGAAGTCAATAGTAGCAGTGGCACTGTAGAAAGCTAATGGCTATAATAAAATTTAGCCTGGGAGGCCAGGGAGATGAATGTTAAAGATGAGACAACTCCTAGAGTGGCTGTATCTAGTGATAGTATTGGAAAATCTGAAAGGAAGGCTTTAATAATATTTAAAGGTGAATGTCTACACATAGTGAGAAGACTTAATCTTGCCTGTATCTCCCTCTGAAAGAGGGAAGAAAAAACAGGAGATCTCCGAAATTGTCATAGACCACTCTAGGTTAGCAGCAAGTCTTAGGTGGTTTCTGACGCTGTAAGACAAAGGGTAATAACTGCACAGGGGCGTTAACTGATTTGCAGTATTAATCTTGCATGCTATAGCCGTAGCTGCTTCATCTGGACATAAAGCATGTGCTATTAGGGGAGGCATCTGGAAAAGGCTACTTCAGGACTGATGCTAATTGTAAGGTCAGACCCAGTCTGCTGTGCTGTGGATTGATGCAGCCTTTCAGAGGTCAAAAACAAACCTTGGAATGAAGTTCTGCAAGGTTTCGTGAAAAGAAGAGAGCTTGGGCTAACACCTTGTGAATTAGCTTACCAGTCCTGTAGCCTTGGTTTGTTGCTGTTCTGAACTATTGTGGTGGTGTTTGTGTGCTGTCACAATTATTTCATTTCACCCCCAGATGGTGAAGAAATCTTTGTGTGCAGTTGATAAAGTTGCATAGATGGAATAATAGGAGCGTATTAACAAAGAACATAGGAGGCAAACCCATCCGTTCCTCATGTGCTACAGAAGCACAGCTTTCCCTGCACCGAGAGAGTTCCAGTTGACTATCTGTTGGCTGCTAGAGTTGAGGACTGAAACAAAGTTAGCCACTAGCAGGTATTCTCTGCCTGGCCTGATTCTGAGCTTCTTCCAGTTGGTTAAATGGAGAGTAGCTCCAAAATAAACAGAAAGCTGGTGCAAGTATGGAGGCTTGCACGCCTGGTGTCCTACCTAGTGTTTTTCCAGAATCAGGAACCTTCTGTGCCAGGCTGCACTGCAGCATCTCACAAGTGGAGGGAAGGACTTGCAAGTCAGCATCCTTTTGGCTGAAGGTTGATCTTCAGTGTGCTGGCATGAACTCCTGGAATGTGCAAAGAGGGGAACTAAGGAACCTTGGGACAAATTGGTTTTCAAAGAGGGCTGTGAGCTTGTATTTAAAACAGGAAAATCCAGCTAAAAGAGGATTGAAAACCCACTTGAACTGGGATGTGATCCCAGGCTGACAGATGTAGCCCCTCGAAGGGTCCCTGCTCTCCTGTCTTTCAGAGTCATGGCATTTCTGGGTGCTGTTCGTACTGCTGATAATTCCTTGTCCCTCTATGCCTTATTGCATGTTCCCTGGTGGATGTCTGTGGCTTGTCGGTGTCACTTTTCTTTGCCTGCCCTTGCTTCTCCTGTGCATGCTTGGGGTTGGAAGCCTCTGCATGGGGACCGATGCTGTCAATTTATTTTTGCACACGAATGTTGCTGGATGACCAAGGTTCTGAATAAACCACAGTGTGTTTTCTTTGCGTGCCTTTGGGATGGGTGGGGGTGGCAGGGAGAGGGTTGATGTGTTTGACTTTTTTTTCTTTATTATTATTATTTGAAGCAAAGAAGCTGAGACTTGCTTAGAGGTTTTCCAACTTCCTGTTTTCCTTTTTTGACCTAACTTTCCTGTCAATCCTTTGCCAACCCTCCTTTCCCTCAGAGGAAACAGGAAGCTTTGCCTATATGTATCTCTGAAGCAACCAGCTGCCTGAATCATAAAGATCACGGAGAACACCCAGTTTGCATTCTCAAGACAAGGTGGTGGTGGGGAATGTTGATTTCCATATTTTTTCCTGCTTTTGCAGGGTCACTGGTGTTCAAAACAAACGACCCATTTGAAAATAGGCAGTGTTAATGCTAGTTCTCAGATTCAGTTCCAGGCTACTGCAACTTGCTTGACTGCAAGGGTTTGAGACTATTTGTGGTCAGATAGTAGGAGAGCTGTTGCTGGTTAGTGTAAGATCTGGCTTTCAGGAGTGCTGCTACTCTCCTTTGAGCCAGTCTTTCTAGCTTGAAATAATTGCTTGTTTAGGGTGGGCAAGTCAGTTTTAAAAGCTCTTATAAATTGGAGAAACAAAACTAGTACAGATAACAGGCAAAGGACTCTTTATCCCCCTCAAGGGGGTATATTTAAAAACAGACTGATGCTAGGAAATGCTGTTTGGTGTTGTAGTTAAAAGTGATTAAAAAAAAGAGGGCGGGGAGAGTTTCATAGGGGGATAGGTGAAGAGTTAAAAAGCTAGACCCTGGGGATGGAAAATCCATTTTTTGACCATGCTGAACCTGAACTGAGTAGCATCCAGGTACTGTTATTGAAATTAGAGGCTTATTAATTATAGGCAAGTAGGTAGGCACTGTGTGAAAGGGTGCTTTAAGGTGCTCACTTGAGAAGGGTGTCTCATGTATGACCTCTGGGTACTTCTCTCTTGATCCACAGCCAGTGAAGTCCTTGCACTTCTTTCTCAGTGCACTCAGGAAAGAATTCCTTCCTCAGTGAAGTTGAAAGAAACTGTAGTATAGGTTGCCATGTGAATATGGACTTCAGCTATGTAATCCTGCCCTGATCCAGGTAGGAGCAGCACCTGCATGCCCAGAGCACAGCATTCCTTGGAGATATGTCCCTTTGAGTCAGTCAGGTCCTGAATCAGTCAGGTCCTCTGTCTCTGCTTGCAGGTGTTGATGGGGAAGGCTAAATGCTTTCACTTAGTGCCTCAGCAAATAGGGATCAAAACCCACTTTTCCCAGGGGACTTCTCATGAGATTTAGCAGGCTGCAGCAATGGGCCATTTGTCTGCTTTAGCCAATGAGATGTCGAACATCTAGAACAATTGTTAAACAACAAAAAAGTTATCTGGCCTGTTCATATGCCAGGGAGCGTATGGTGGGTTTGGAGCAGGTCTTCCATGGCACAAAGGTTGCTGTAAGAGTCTTTGAAGCCCAAAGCAAAAAGGAATGAACTATGCCCTTGGCAGGCTTCCAGGATCTTGGAAAATCTGTCTGCAAGTCCAGCTTCCCAGAACTTCCCTTAGGGAAAAAAAACTGATTGCAGGGTGTACATGTGCATGCATACATGCAGGGGGCTGTTCCCCGCGTGCCTTTATACCTCCCTTTCCCATGTGCACGTGTTTTCTCTCTCCTGCAGCTCAGCCAGTACCCTCATCTGCGTGAGGAGATGGAGAGGATTGTTACTACCCACATCCGTGAGCGAGAAGGCAGGACCAAAGATCAGGTAGGTGATCAGGAGGGTGTACGAGTGGGGAGACAATGTGGGGTGGAGGGTGGTCTAGGCTAGAGGGGGCTGAGCCAAACTCTGAGCCAAGGAGAGTCTGGCAGCAGAGGCTGATCAGATGAACTATATAAAAGGCTCTCTGTGAGCCTTGATTAATACAATGTCAGTCACTTAATGTCTGTCTTGTGCTGTCTGTGCCTCTGTTTGGCAGGTCATGCTTCTAATAGACATTGAACTGGCTTACATGAATACAAACCATGAGGATTTCATTGGCTTTGCCAAGTAAGCACTGATGTCTTGTCTCATCTTAATGTGTTTCCTGTGGCTCTCTCCCATAGCTGCTCCAATAAGTGTTTTTCAGAAGCAGCAGTGCAGGTGCTGCCCCAAAGTATGTCTTTACCCTCAGTATTGTCTCCCTTTTCAATGGTTTCATACCACAAGGCTGGGGAGGAGAATTAGGGATGCTTGTAAGGGGGAGTTAGAGCATTATGTCAAGCTGTGGAGGGTTTGTGACCCAAGTGTGGGACTGAGCAGATGAGTAGACCAAGGCTGAGAGAGCAGGTTGAGGTAGATTGGGGTATCTAAACTTGGAATTTAGTGGTGAGAGGCCTCAATTCATTGTAACAGCTATCTGATGGGAGCAGGATTCAGGTGATGAAGAAGAGTCTGGGGGGTTTTGAATATCTCTACTGTTGTTTGCAGTGCTCAGCAGAGGAGCAGCCAGATGAGCAAGAAGAAGGCAGCTGGGAACCAGGTAGGCCAAGTTTCCATCTCCTTCACTGCTGCAAGAAGGATGTTTGTTACCTGGAAGCTGCCAGGTGGACAAGTGCTGGGCTAAATGCAACGGTGCTCCATGCTGTGGCTTTTTGGTTTTTATATTGATCAAGCTCTGCTTGTACCTGGAGGATAGTATTTGAGGCTCACTGCAGTCAAAGAACTAAGTGTAGCAACAACAGAGAGAAAGTGTCATAGAGAGAAATGAATGTTTGATAATCAAGATCTAGTCTTTTATGGCCAGAAGGGGTACACCACCTTATGTAAGCTCATTGCTTGCTGTCTGGTCTTTCTTTTCTGGTAGAAATAACTATTAATGTTGTTAATGTACATCCCTGGGTTTTCAGCCCCTTTGCTAGCTGTGCCAGCTCTTTCACTGAAGTGGGGTAGCACAGAACACTTTAGGATCTTGTAGATACACTCACATTTGAGCCAGTTACCAATAAACTCTCACTTTGAGTCCAATTATTGCTAGGTCTGCTACAAGACAGACTTGTCATGCCTGCTTGTCTTTCCCATCAGTGGTATCCACTTTCTGGAAAGGGATTTCAAGAGTTCATGGGCACTCAGATGGAAAATGTTGCTGGCAATAGTTAACCCCCCTGTACAGGGAGACAGTTATGTATAGCTGTGGCTGCACTGGTTATATATAAGAACATCTCCATTGGGAGAAGACAGCAGTGAAGGGGAGGAGTCTGCTTATTCCTTCAGGAACTGTAAGGATTGCACATCCAATTAAAAAGGAGCTAATGACACCTTCCAGATTTGCTAGGTAAATGACAATGCTATCTAGGCTAGAAGGTCCTGTAGAAACAAAGCTGTACAAGCAGTTTCATAGAGAATAAAAACAAATGCTTTCAGTTAATCTTTTTAAAGACCTTCACTCCTAACATCAATTTGCTTCAGAACGTGTGTAATCGCCTTTCCCTGCACACAAACATGCAGACTGTTTCAGTGTTGTTGGCAGGTAGGTCATCAGGCTGAACTGCCCAACCACCCACTTTATGGGATCTCGGAGCGGCTGTAGGGAGCCTCAAACCCTGTGGTATACCTTGCTGAAGAGCTGGCTGCAAAAGAGCAGAAAGGGCAAGCTTTGGACCAACCTGTAAAGTGCCTGGGCTTTTCCCTTTAGCAGGTTTTATGTTTTATTTTGGGATGGGGGTTACTTTTGTTAATGCCTGGAGTAGAAGACTTGGGTTCCAATTTATTTTTGAGCCTCTCTTCTCCTGCTCCAGCTTTCCTAGTAACAATCTCTCCTCTCTTTGCTCCTCTCCTGCTCTCTGCTCTGCTGCTGTTGCTATGGTTCCCCTTTGCAGGATGAGATCCTGGTGAGTAGAAGGCCACTCAGCAGGGTGTGCTAATGAACATTAATGTTGCATCTGGGAAGGCAAGAGCAGCGCACAGGCAAATTATTCCCTCTGCTGCTGAATGGGGAGAGGAAGGCAGCTGGCACTAGGCACATGTGAAGCATAAATGAGGTGAAAAGGTAGTATGTTGAGGAAAATCCTAGGGTTGCTGCCACATCTGAGTGGGTAGAAATAAAAAGCAGTAATCCAGGGTTCTGGAGTTCTGTTTCACTGCCCTCTCCTGTCCACAGAGAGAATAGGACTATCTCAGGCTTATCAGTGGGCATGAGGTGAAGATCCAATGCTCTGACGTTTACCTTTATAGGTTAAATTAGGTAAAAGGACTGTGCTGCTCACACAGTGGAACTTCCTAATATGCAGTGCAGTCATTTTCAACAAGCAAGCCATTCAACAAGCTACACACAGCGCATGCAGAAGTACCTGGGTGTTAACAGTGCAGTAAGACATAAAAGCTAATGCCTTAAGCTGATGCGTACTTGTATTTTATTACTTGTATTTGATTATTGTGTGCGAGGCTCTAAAGCAGCACGTGGTGAACTGGAGTTCCACAGAGTAACAGCTTGGCTTCTCAACAGAGTTACATACAGGAGCTTGTATTGCTCTACGTTAACGACTACTTGAATACATGGGTATGCTAAAGTCCAGCCTTTTAATTCCAGATGCACCATTTTGTTCTTGTACTTAGTGTATCCTTGTTATTAAACTCAATTCCTTGAGTTATTTGCTCATCTCTTCCTCTCAAACTGGTTTCCCACACTCCTGAGTTGGGTGAAGCACACCTCACGTGCAGTGTGCCAAAAGGTGCACTGCTGCCTTGGTGTTCTCTGGGCATGGTCTTTTCTGGGTGTGTTGCTGTGACCTGGTGCTTCTGTAGTTGTGCCAGTGTCCAAGGAGCTCTCAATGCAGTTCTTCCTGTATCTCTTTCCCTTGGCAGAGGATATAAGGCACAGCCAGGTTTCTTCCTGCATCCTTTTTGTGCTATTCCTGGCCCTTCTGAGACAAACCTTCACTGGCCAGTTGAGTGGGGGGCTCTTCTGGCAGCAGCAGAGAGCACGGTGTTCCTTGTCTTTCCACGTGATTCTGTGTGTAGGGGTACCCTCTGCTCTTTCTTCTGTCACTTAAGTCTGGGCTTTTAGAGATATTATTGATACTTATTGCTTCAAACCCCTTAGGTCATCCGGAAGGGCTGGCTCACCATCAACAACATTGGGATCATGAAGGGTGGCTCCAAGGAGTACTGGTTTGTCCTGACAGCAGAGAACCTCTCCTGGTATAAGGACGATGAGGTGAGTAGCTTGCTCAGCTCTGAGACTTGAGTCTGGGGTGTCTGTTAGAATTAAGCGTTCAGCTCTTGCTGTTCCAGGTGTGCCTTCTGAGTACTGTCTGCAGCTTCTGACATAAGCAGAAGCCATTAAACCATCCTTGGGCCTGGTTACCAGCAGTTTTAGTACTGCTGAGCTTTTCTGAATTGGTCTGGCCTCCCTGATGCACAGGGAGTAACCTGTACCTGAAGCCCTGGCTCAGCAGAAAGTTGACAGACACTAGGAATGAATCTGATATTTTTTTGGCTTCCTGTCACAGTTATATTCAAGAGTAATGTGTTAGTCCAAGATCTGGACTTTTTGGTATTTGTCGGGCAGCCACGGTGAGTTTTCTGAAGGAGTGTGGCAGAGATTTTCATGCGTCTGTTCTGGTTGCAAAGAAAGCTGTCACCTTTCTGTGTAGAGCTGAAGGGGCAGCTGAAATGCTGGTTCCTTCTGAATTTTGGTAAAGTAACATCTCCAGGATTCAGTTCCTAAGCCTGCAAAGCAAGAAAGTCTCATGGTATATTCAATATAGAACCAGTTAATGTGTATTTGTAAAATTCTCAGCTATGAATGGTTGGAGTACTGCTGATTGAAATAGTAATGTGTAGAATATCACTGAGAGTAACATGGGCCAACTCTGTAGAGCTGCTTAAAAGTGGTGAATATTAAGAATTCTGGCATTGTGGTACGGTATCTTTCTGCTTCAGTGGGAAATAAGGGAAACGATGTAAGCATTTAGAGTTGTCCCGAAAGAAAGTGGCATTGTCAAGTGTGCTGCTTCCTCTGCAAGATGAAGGTAGATAATTGTTGTCTTTGATTATACTGAATAAAGAATAAAAGAATAATTAGATGCTTTTGATAAGGATGTAATCACAAGAGTTAGCCCCACTCAGTATGCTGGGAGATGAAAAATGCCCGCTATGGTGTAGTCATGTGTTCAGAGTTGATATTTTGTGTGCGATATTGATATTTTGATAGTGTGTTCAGAGGGCTTCTGATATCAAACTGCTGTCCCTCACTCTGTTTTTTGTCACTCAGGTGTTTTGAGGCACACAGTGTGCCTGGGAGCTGTAGCTGAGCCTGGATTTTTGTCTAGTTGAGATCAGTGGGTCTGTTTCATTCTCAGCAGGTGGAAGTGATGACAAATATGGTGATGAATCAGCCTCTAAATATCACTTTCTGCATGGAGACTGCTGTGGTGCTGCTATGGATGAGCAGGCAGAGATTTCATAATTGAAGAGCTGGGCATTAGATGTCTTTTGGCTAAATCAGTGCGTCTCTGCTCTGAGACTCCTGACCTGGGTATTCAGAGCTGCTTGTGGAGGCTTCACTTTCCTCCAGGTTACATACGCTGATTGGGTGGTTATAAACACCAAGTAGTTTAATCAAAGCCAACTGCTACATCTGTATTGCAGAGATGATCAGAACTCCTTGTTTTTCCCCTGGGGAGTGGGAGGGAGGACTGTAGCATAAACTCTTGATAGATTCCAGTTGCATGGGATGGGGATTGGACCTCTCCTCCCTCCCAGGGGAGTGCAACCTAGGGGGTCAATAGCAACTGGAGGTCTGCACCATTTCCCTTCTCCATAGCAAGAGGTAGGGTTGCCTAATTAAAGCAATCCCCTGCTGGCCTGGGTCCCTTAAACACAGGAGAGGCAGTGCTGACAAAGTCTGAGCAGTTCCTGAGAAAGGAGCCTTTGTTTCTAGCTGAGCAGGAGCAGAGGGGAAAGGGAAGCGTGCTTTTGATTCCTCCCCAGGTTCAGCTCTTTGATCACTGGCTGTCCTGGGGGGGGGGCAGAAATAAAGCAGCTTCCACCTGGACTTCATAGTAGAGTGAAGATAAATGTTTGTGTTTCAGTGGCAGCTTGGAGAGCCTTGAACATGGGAATTCCCATCCCAAACCTCAGTCTTGTGTGTGGCTGGCTCCATCCTGTAGGGTTGTCTGCAGTGCACGGCCCTCTGTCAGACAGGGTTATCTGTGTGCCTGTCCACATCTCTGCTTCCCCACTAATGCAGAAGCAGGAGGATCCATGTCCTGTAAGGTTTCTGAAATAATCTGTTTGGTTTTTTTTTTTTTTTTTTTTTAAGGCTGTACACAATGATCTTTCTTCTCTTCAGCTTTTCGAGGAAGGGGGAGGCTTTGTCTGCCCAGCTCTGTGCTTCTGCAGGCTCGCTGGTCCCAGTTCCCCTGTGCTCTGGCAGCTTTCCAGAGGACACGAGAAGGGAGATGAATCTGTCGTGTGCCTCTGGAAGTGCTGGTGGCAGGGCTGTGGGTGGCGATGGGGGAAGGAGCAGGGTGAAATGGTGTGGTGGGGTCAGGGGAAAGGCTAAGCTAGCAGGGCGTTGGGGGGAGCAGGGGCGCAGCCTCTCCCTGCCCTGTTTTGCAAGCCAGGACCCAGAGTCTGAGGAATGGAGACATCTGGACCCCATTAGTGAAATACCAGGCTTTCCGCAATGCTGGTTTGTTTTTCCTCTGCCTCTGAAGAAAGGAATTGAAACTTAAAATGTCTTAAAGGGCCCAGCATCACATGTTAGCAGGGACATGGCTGTTGATGCTCTGGAGGGGCCTGAAGGAGTGTGCTGGGGAATGGGAGGGGAAGGAAAGAGCGGGCCAGGCGGGGGTGGAAAGTTGGCTCCCCACTCTGCTCTGCTGCCAAGAGCATTTCTGTGTGTGTGTGTGCTCCTGGGCTCTCTGTTTTTCTTCCTGTCTCCTCTCAATGAGTCAAATGCTGGCCTTATGGAGAGTGGCCCCACAGAAAGCTGGCCTCCCAAGACCTGGAGACCCTCCTGAGGTACCTGCACCTCCTGAACGCTGGGGAATTGTGCTGCAGGCCAGCTGTGGGAGGCAGAGAGGAGCGTGTTCTGCCTGCTGGCAATGCAGAACACGATTTCCCTGCTTGGGGAAGCCACAGTGTCCCCAGGGCCAAAGCATCAGCGCAGCACCACAGCACACTGACCAGCGCTGTAGTGGACACGCTTCAAGGACTTGATTCAAATAGTCCTGCCTCAATCCCTTATGAAATCCTCAGTGCCTGCTTCTCCACAGGGATTTCCCTCTGGCCGCAAAAGAGGGGCTGTGAGCTGGGCTGGAGCTTCTGGTGATGAGGACCCTGTAGGCAAGATGCACTGAGGCCTGTGCTTGGTGGTTCCTATTCATAAAGCTCCCTGCTGGAGGGGGACCTCTGTGGAGAAGCAGGCACAGAGGATGTATCTGCTGTTCCTTTGGCAGTTTGTGTGAATGTACGATACAGATGGGACCTTCTGTCCTTGGGTAAATCATGGACTAGAAATTTGGGGTTTGTAGTAGCAGGTGACTACATGAGAAGAATATGGCCTTGCTGGTGTAGAAGTACTGGTGAGCTGCATGCAGTAGCAGTGCCTTTTGATTCCTGCATGTGCAAATTCTAGGTGCTTTCAGGTTTATGTGTGGGGATGCTTCATAACCCTGTGCATCATGTTGATTCCTGCTGCCTCAGTTGTGCTTGGGCTTTCTTTGCTTTCCCTTTTGCTTAAAGTACAGAGGTACTCTCCCTTGTCCTGGGGAAAATGTGACCTTACTGACAGCCATTAGATAGCTGCTTATTCTGTACCTGCCAGTGTCTTGTGTCCAATTCTAGCTTAAAAATAGATACGTGGATCAATACTGAAGTTGTTCCCCTGCTACGCATGCATGCAGCCCCCACTTGCACCATCCCCCCTGCCACCAGCAGTCTGTCCTTAAGGCCCAGCTCAGCTGGCAGAAATCCTTTTGTCTCTGTGCTGATCCCCACAAGTCATCACAAGCTTGTAAGGAGGTGGTGACTGACAATCCAGCTGCAGCCTGGTTTTTGTACCCAGTTTGTTCGAAGGCCATAGGAGCAGATCTGCTCTGAGGTGCTTCCTCTCCTGTTTTCAGGTGCTCTCAAACACGTTCCTTCTCTTTACATCATCTGTGGAACTCTTTCATTCATTATTTTCTTCTCAAGTGCATATTTTCTCCTGGGTAACACTATTCTTTTCTCTTACCCAGTCCTTACTTATGCTTTCACTCACTGTTTCTTTTCTTTCTTTTCCAGACAAACATCAAAGCAAACAACTTCCAGAACATCCAAACCTCCAACTCTCAATCCTTTTTCTTTTGTAAATGATCAACGTTCTTTAAGATGTAAAATCACCTTTCTCTGTTTGATCGTGCCTTCTCAGGTAGCAAAGTGCAAGGCAGTTGTAACTCCACCAGGCTCTTAGGTTTATCCCTGTATTTTATGGCAAAGCTTAGTACGTAAAACACAAGCCATCCTGAATGCAGCCACCCCTGGGACGAGTGCGTGAAGCTAAAAGAAGGGGGGTGAAGGGGAGAGAAGGAACAAGAAGGATGTGAGTAGGCTGGTGAAGAGGCAGGTAAAAGTGATCAAGCATGGCCTCAAAGGGTGTTATCCTCCCAGGCTGAGGGATGGACTTTGCATGCAGCTGTTCCCGCAGCCCACCACCCTCTCCAAGCATGTCCCTCTGCCGTGCAGGTGTTGCCGTCCCCGTGCAGCACTGGCAGTGTGTGGTGTATCCCAGCACAGCCTAACCAATGTGCAGACTACTGTACAATCTCGTAGTCCTGAACAGGTAGTCTGAACACTGGGCAGACGGAGTGGAGCCTCTGTGATCTGCTCTCCGGCTCTCAGCAGCTCATTAGTCCTTCCCCTCCCTGCCTTTGGGATGGGGCTCTGGGGGGCAGAGATGGGGTGAAAGAAGGTCCAAGTCCTGAGTGAAGAAGCGTCCTCTTCTGGCAGCTGAGAAGAGATGTTGCTCCTGCGTGTTTCCAATTCAGAGCAAGCTTCCAAGCCCCTTCTTGCAGTGCCGGTGTCAGAAGGCTGGTACCTGGTTTCCACCTGGGGTTTGCTGCACCTTTGTTAGAAAGAGGAGGGGGAAAAAAAAAATCAATTACTGAAGTTCATGGAGGAAATGTGAAGTTTTGGCTGCCACGTAGGTGCGCAGAATTTGTTGCTTCATTCAACCCCTCTTCTCCCCCTGATAGATCTGGCACAAGAGTTAGTGGAGCTGGCTGGGAGGGCTCCCAGGCCCCATGCACCATCTCCTCCTGCCCAGCCCTGTCCTGTAGATCAACCCCTTTGCCTGGAGTCCGGAGTAAAGCTCAAGCAAGATCAGCCTTTGCTTCCAAGCCCTCAAAAGGGTCCTTTGACCCACCTTGGCCAGTTGCCTTTTGCAGCTCGCCTCCAGCTACTGCAGCAGCAATCCATAGCCCGTCTTTCTCCCCCCACCACGTCTGGCATTGCCGAGCCTCCCTCCCTCTTGTAGTTTTCGCTCCCTCCCTTCTTGCTTCCCTTCTGTCCTTCTGCCTCAATTGACGTGGCAGTGGAAAGCTAACTAGACTCGAGGGAGGAGCTTGCTGGCTGCTGGGAAGGCCGGAGGTTGGCAGGAAGTGAGCCGGCTGGCGGATAGGGTTGCGCGGGGGAAAGGAAGGTTCCCTACCTCGCATGGAAACTTGAGGAATGCCGCCGCTTTCTGTGCCGCTTGGCTCCCATCTAACGATTCCAGATGTTCCCCAGCCTGTGCGGTTTGCTCCCTCTCTCCCTGGTGCTGCAGGGATAAAGAGGGCTTTATGCGTGCCGCACGTCTCCCTTCCAGGGTTGCCTTTTCCTCCGTGCACGCTGGTGGACAGTTGAGATTTCTAGCCACAAATCTGGACGCCCACAGCTCCTACCTGGCCCTAACCTTGTGATGGGGAAGGACAGCCAAGGCTCCTTTTCCTGGAGGGGCACAACATTACGTGCGTTGTGCTTTGCTGATCAAACCAAATCAAATACTTGAGGAGGGTTCATCTCTGCCCTGGCACAGAAGCAGGTATAGGAGGAATTGTGTTGCTCTTTGCAGGGGCTGGCAGGCACTACTGTGACCTCAGAGGTCACGAAGGTGCAGGTTTGAGGCTTTGAAGCCTCTCTGGTTCTTAAGCTACTTGGTTTCTGCATGCATTTCCTCGTCCACCCTCTGATGGCTTCCTAGGGCTGCAGACAGCTGGTTGTGGCCGCCATGCACTAAACTGCACGTTTCGGTCTGCACATCACTTCAGCTGATGTCTCATCCTGTACTTTATGAGCAGGTGAGGAACACAAGTGCAGCTGATTACCAATGCTGTGCTCACTAAGCCAGCAGTAACAGTTGTGATTAATCACATGAGTCCAGGCATAATGTCTACAGAGCTTTCGAACCAAATCAGCTTAAAATCTTAGGGTGTGTTGTTTAACTTAAACCCACGTTGCTTTCCTATGTAAACAAGCCATTACAGCTGCTTTGCAGCTTGGATTAGTGATCAGTGTCCAGGAAATATGTCCTGAGGGTAAAAGTGATACAGGTGGGCTGAGTTTTGGAAAGATGACCTTGTGTGTTATGGGTGACTGGGGCTTACTGAAAGAAGTGCAGCTCAGGAATTCAGTGTGTATCTTTCTTAGCAAAAAATAAATAAAAAAATTCCTTGTGTATCTTTCTTGTAAAAACAAGAAATTGATGAGTGCTTGATAGCACCTCACTTGGAGGTGTTCAACTTAAAACGTTCAGCTAACTTGTTTTCACATAATGCAGTCTGTTCTCTAGACACTTTTCCTAGCAATTGCGTAGTGGGCATGTATCCACGCAGTGTGTTTGTTCTTAATTATGATGTTAATGTTTTTTCCATTTGAATATTATTACAGGGGATCCCAAAATGCCGTAAAGAATTTGACTGAAATTCCAGTCATCTCTGGGGCAGGTTTGTTTACTTGTGGAACTTTACATCTTACAATAAGGAAGGGAGATTAAGAGGTTTGAGTAAGATGAATTGTTTCTAATTTCACATAGCCAGCAATTAAAACGGTGACAGTGCTTCTCCCATATCTGTAGACCCTTGCCTCTGTGCAAGAGGTGGTGTCTGTCATAGCAGCTACAGGGAAATCTTTAATTAGTTCTTGGTCTCTGAATGCAATGAGACCTAATAATTCTGCCAATTACTTTCTCGTACTGCGAGTGCCAATTTCCAACCTTAGAGGAGCCCACACATGCATCTGTCAGCTTCAGTTCACATGTATCCAAGAGCAGGAAAATGTAACTTGCTATTGAGACTGTCCGATTGAATGGAGGAAATGCTTTGAGTCAGGCTGGCTTGCTGCCTGCTGAGTCTTGTGAGTTTCTTCTCTGTTATTATATACAAGATGGCAACAGCTATTCAGATGATAGTACAAACAGCTTCCATCTCTGGCCAGAGCCAATATCTTGGAGTCAGCCACAATAAGATGTGCAAGATCATCAGGTTGCAACTGCAGCATTCCCCTCTCCCTTTCCCCCCTGCCGTGCTTCACACTCCACAACTACAAATGGCTAATGGACCCTGGTCTCCTTCCTGGCCATGTGAATTTTCTTTCTGTGCTGGTAGATGTGAAGTACAGAGCCATATGGCTGTCTCTGCACTACGCTGGGGGTGGGGAGCAATCCTCTGGCACGTATCCTGCCTGAGTGAGTAGCTTGCAGTCATCTTCCTGCAGTTCTCCATGCAAGCGGTGTGACTTGGTTAGGCACGGCAGCACCAAGCAGGGGTAGCCTGCCCCGTGTCTGCGACATTCCCTAGCCAACACTGAGCATCCCTGTTTTGCTTCCTACAGCTAGTCTGAGTGCTTCTACAACTTTGCTACCTCTCCTTGGCCTTATGGATTAATGTGCAGCCCGTATGCACATCTTACAGAACCTATATTATGCTGCTGAGAGTTTTGTCTTCCCTTTTTCCTCCTATAGGTGAGGGGAGATAAGAGAACTGTAAGCCTCTTGAGATCAGACAAGCTTTCAATGTAGTATTTCACAAACTCTTTCCCTTTTCAATGTGTGTTGGCTCTTTCTCTCCCCCTCTAAGTCTGGAAAGCTAGAAAGAGAAGCCCTTTCCCCCCCTTGGCCAGGATGCTGTTCAGCCACAGCACATACTGCCGGATTGCTAACATATGGGCAGAAGGCTCAGCCAAAGTTCTGAGAGGCTCAGCCCTTGGCAGCTTGTTCCTCATTTTCCTGTCTCTACATTCAGGAAATGAAGTCAGAGTGTTGATATAAAACAGGCTGGACTGAAAACTGAGAAGCTGGAAAGACTTGGGGGGGTGGACGGGACTTAAAGGGGGGAGGTGTGGGGAGATGGAGAGCAGCAGGGGCTCGTTACGCTGTGTGCAATATATGTGGGCTGGGGGTTGTTGCCTTGCAGCGGCGCCCTCCAATTTGATTGCTTTTTTTCTACCTTGGAGCCAGAGGACTAAAGTTTCATGCTGGCAGGCGGTTAGATGGGTCTTTGGTGTATGGAAAGATCAGCACGTAGAGACAGTGTTGTCTTGATCGTGTAGCAGCATTTATACGAGAGCTCAGAAGGAGTGAAAGTTGAAACTCTGGCAAAGAGCATGCATTTCTGTATCAGGACATGGGATTCCCTTACTATTTGATTATTTCTTATCCCTGAAGAATGACTTCATTCCGTAGAAATTTAGCAATAATGTGGTTCTAATGCTACAGAATGATTTTTCCCAGACAGCGTTCTTGTCTGTTATTTTTTGACTAGCTCAGACTCCAGTTGATGTAGGGAGTTCCAGTGAAGTCAGGCTGCAATGGGATGGGCTCGTCTTGCCTAGGGAGTCAGCAGTGAGTGTACTTCGCTTCTGGGTCACTAGTTCAACCTAACCTAGCATAATAATAACTGAAAGCAGTAGAAAGCTGGAAGCTGTTTGGCTTATAGAGCCCAACGTGGTCTCTGTGGTTCTGAGACCAGCACCTGGATGACAGATGTCTCCTCACAAAAGTGCTTGCCTCCCTCCCGTTAACACTGTTAATATTCAAAAATCCAGGGAAGCTTGCCTGGAATAATTTACCTTCTTTGAAGCCCAATATCTTTTGTGGGAGGGAGTGGAGAGTTTAGCAGCTACCCAAGTGATTTCTGTTTTAGATGTCACTTATTCCTAGGATATTCTTGTTGCATAAAACTAGTAATTGGCTGGTATAGTTTAATCTTCGGGGCTCGCCTGAACTGTGTCACGTCTGGTATTCTTAACAAAATTGATTTAACTGAAACTTAGGAGGGCATTAGGTTGGTCTTGCTCTCCTGTGTGTGTTTGAGCTCAGCAGCTTTGTCACCGTTATCTGCTGCTCTGCCCTGCCCTTGTCTTCTAGCTGGATCTTTAGGGTCTCTGCTCACTGACAATCTTGCTTTTCATTCTCATTTCCCACAAGAGCAATCTCACTTTCTCGTTTCCAATCAAGAAAGGTCTACCGACCCTAGATGCTCACAAGGGAACAGCCACATATGCATGCTTACACAGACAAGTATGCTCTGTTTCTTTTTGAGTCTTGGATAGCTGTGTTCTGCCTTTTGGAGACCAGTGTGATGGCTCCCCCTCTTGTTATTTTGGTGTATAGTATCTAGCTGGAACAGGATGCTCAAAATGAGGACTCTAAACCAAACTCCCTATGTTAATTTGCTGTCGATTCAGATTTGAAACTAAGCAGGGAGAATGATTTCTGACTTTGCTTCTGAATGTGAGTATCAAAATTAAGATCAAGTTTCGTTCTTTAAAAGATGATACCTAGGACTGAAAATGTTGCGTTTGTCTTTTGGATGCCTTGTTCTATTCCTAGCTGGAGATACCTCGTAGGAACTGGTACAGGAAGCTTATAGACCCTGTTACTCTGAAAAATGGGTCCCTTTAAAATTCCAGGTGACCAGTCTGACAGCTTTAGGCTGTGGCTTTTAACAGTCACCAGGCAGTAAAGTTCCCATATTACTTAAGCTTCTAACTATTCAGTGCATGAGATTTCTGTTAATAAGGGCAATTATTTGTCTTTCTCAACACAGGAGGCCTTCAGGTAGCCTTACAGTATCCTTTATTGTAGTCAGACTTACTCTTTGCTCTTTTGATGTGTATTTATTATTGCTTAAATAATACTGTACTGGGTACTGTGAGCCCTTTTAAAGTGTAGGACAGTGACAGGATGAAATAAGTCACTTTCTCTAAAGAGATGAGTTTAAGTTGATATAGTCCCTAATGTGTGTTGAAACAGCTTCTCTATCACATGCCTGGCTTTTCTTGAACACCGATCAGAAGGTTTTTAGTGACTTAAAAATAAAATTAAAAAAAGAAAAACACTGAGATGACAACAGTGGGCTGTGAGGGCTGCATATGACTGACTGGATGTGGCAAGAGAGCTCATACTGAGCCCTTCTTGCCCAACAATTGTGGTGTAAAACAGAGCAAGCAGTAACCTCCCTGTGAGTCTTTGGGATGGGGCCAGCATGTCCCCAGTGCTGATGAGTCCCTGAGGAGATGCTGCAGCAAGGTATGGGAGGTCTGTTTGTGAGGGACATAGGGAAACGATGCTCGAAGACCAAGCACCTTCTTACCAGCAGTTTTGGGAGGTGGAGGGAATGGGGCTTGAAGCACACTACTCGTGGTACAGTGTCATGCATTGAGGAGCTCTTTGGCTGGCTTTTCAGTGTTGGTAAGTGAGGCTGAGGGAGCTCTGGTCGGGGTGAGGCTTTTTTGTGTGGTGGATGCGTGCAGTTCTGTGTGAATGACCGAAGGGTAACAGGAAAACTTGTCTGCTGTGCCCAGCCTGGGTTGGGAGTGCTTCCCAGTGCCTCCCTGGTGGTGTGCAGCCTGTGTTGCTGACAGCCTCCTCTCTGCTGACTGAACAGAGGCTTCACCTGGAGCAGCGAGTGACTTGTTACTGATCCCCTTTTTCAGGAGAAGGAGAAGAAGTACATGTTGCCAGTGGATAACCTGAAACTGCGAGATGTTGAGAAGGGATTCATGTCCAGCAAGCACATCTTTGCTCTCTTCAACACTGAACAGAGGTAAGCTCACACCTCAACACCAAACAATTGATACGCACATCTTCCTTTGGTGGCTGTCCTTTAAAACTAATTGTTGAGGAGATAGGTGACTTTTAAAGAGAAGTATAGCTTCATTTCTTCTGGTCTTAGAACTGTTTGCCAATTCATTCACCAGTTTGTGGTCTGCAGTGTGAGCTTCAGCTATTTATTGTGGCTGCGTGGCCATGGTTGCCATATTTATTATCAAACAGAATCACAGAATCACAGAATTTCTAGGTTGGAAGAGACCTCAAGATCATCGAGTCCAACCTCTAACCTAACACTAACAGTCCCCACTAAACCATATCCCTAAGCTCTACATCTAAATGTCTTTTGAAGACTTCCAGGGATGGTGACTCCACCACCCCCCTGGGCAGCCTGTTCCAATGCCTCACAACCCTTTCAGTAAAGAAATTCTTCCTAACATCTAACCTAAAACTCCCCTGGCATAACTTTAGCCCATTCCCCCTCGTCCTGTCACCAGGCACATGGGAGAACAGGCCAACCCCCACCTCTCTACAGCCTCCTTTAATGTACTTATACAAAGCGATAAGGTCACCCTTATTAAACATTATTAACACCCTTATTAAACATTATTAACACCCTTATTAAACATTACTGTTCTTAGTGAGCAAATAAGGAAATCCATAACAGACAAAGGGAAACGGGTTGATTGAAGTCCAATAGTGAGCAAAATTGAAAAGGGAGTATCTTTTAGTCCCTGTTGAAACTGGGGCTTTTTAGGGTAAGGCCAGAGGTTTGAGGGAGTAACCGATGTGGGGGCAGCCTTGTTAATGAAAAACTTATTTACTGGTCCCTCTGCAAGGACATCAGAAGGATGTTAGCAAGTAATCTGCCTGAAAATGATGGGAAGATACCCTACCCTTTTGACACTTTTGTCCAATATGGGCAACAGCCTCTTTTGCAGTGGATAAGAGTGAAATGTTTGTCTTCCTCTCAGAAATGTTTACAAGGATTACCGGCAGCTGGAGCTGGCCTGTGAGACCCAGGAGGAAGTGGATAGCTGGAAGGCTTCCTTCCTTCGTGCAGGGGTCTACCCAGAACGTGTTGGGGTAAGTTAAAGCAATAATAATGGGATGGGAAGCAACACAGTATGTATCTTAAGGATAGCTGCATACTCGTATGTTAAAAATAAGTCTATGAAGGTTGTGTCTTTTTCCTGAGGTGGAGATATTTTAGAACAAAGCTAAATTTTTGATATGTGCTGATGCTTCCTTTAAGGAAGCTTGGGATGTAGTAACTGGCAACCTCAGATGGGAGGCAAAGTAGTCAAAGACTGCCTTGATGAGCTCTCCTGTTCTGCAGGCACTAAGTCCCTAGTACAAGGATGCTTAACTACCTGGCTACTAAGTGGTATGTGTCTGTTGAGCAAAGGTACCATTGCTTCTTGGTACCATTTGTTGCATGGCATTGTTAGGAGCTTCACAACTTTTTTTATAGTTTGCCCATTCCTTGCCTTTCCCAATTAGGAAGGGATTTTCTTTTTTCCTTCTCTTCACATAGCCTTGTTCTGCAGCACTTGCAGTCAGCATTCTGCTCTCCTTTAAAAGAAAACTGTGGTACGAGTTCCTGTTCGAAGCTTTCCTGTTTCTCAGTGTGAGAAGCTGCTGCTATAAATACTTTTCCCATTAGAAAAGTGATAATTGCTTATCTGTTTGTATTTGTTGCTTCCAATAGACTTCTTGCATGCATCCTTCCTGTTACAGTTGAAGATTATATTTCTGCCTTAATGCATTTCCTGACAAACTGATGTGATATTTTATAAATAAATAAAATTAGGGACTCTGGGCCTTATCAGTGATGTGACTTCAAATCGACTTCGGACCAGACTGGGCCTCTTAAACATACACTCATAAAGGATGTGTGCCACCTATTGGTGAGCAAATGGAGTGGCTTCACGTAGGAATACTGATCTCTATTTTGACAGTCTCAAAACATTATGTAAAGAATAAAAAGTAACGATAGTAGGTAAGTATAAATTGCACTGTACTGCTGATAACGCAATTTCCTTTGCAGAGCTGATTTTCATTTTAACTAAGCAATTCACTTGTTCTCCTTCCAGAGTAACTTAAGTGTTTATACATTTTTAGTGGGATTGGTTTTGTCTGCTCAGTGCTAAATTAAGATTTTCTTTAAGTTCTAAGATCAGCTAAAAATCTTTTTTCATTTTTGTCCTTTTTTATTTTATTTTTTTTCATGTGTGCTCAAACTGGCCTGTCAGGACAAGGACAAAGTAAGTGACCCTCTCTGTGTTGTCCCCTGGGGCTCTCACTGGATAGTTCTTTTTTTCCTTTTGTCACAATTTCCCAAGAGGCATTTTTCTTCTCTTTGTACTTCATGTTGGATCCCGCTGTTTGTTTGTTCTTGGTTTGAGTTTTCATTTTTTTTCTTTTTATTTCTTTTTGTATGATTTCTGAATCTTGGTGAAAATCTTTTTTTGACCATCTTTTTGAGTCATCTTGTTCGACTTCCACTTCCTTTACCTCATGTTTCTTACTAAGGTTTTCCATTTATTCATTATGTAAGATCTTCCTCAGAAAAGCTCAGATGCTCAAAGGAATTTTCCCTTTCTCATATATTTTGTTCCCTGAAGCAGAAGCTGATAAGCAATTTCCTACACTGCTGCAAATCAGTCAGCCTGGAATGGTTTGAGAGATTTTTTTCCTTTTAAAAATCAAGTTTTTAAATAAGCATTGAAAAAGGCAGCAAAGGCTTTCATGGTCTGTTACTTTGAAATTGATCTCAAATGAATGAGTTCTGGCAATTGCCTACTGTCAAACAGCATGCTCTGGGTTTTACTTTACAGAAATCTAAACAATGAATTTCAGGAAGACAGATTCTTCTGCTTTGTGTGGAAGAAAAGATGCTCAGAACCATGATGTAGAATTTGCAGTTAGTGATCTGGAAGGTTTTCTAGGTTATTCCACCTCCTACTTGCAGTCTGAGCAGTTACTTTACCTCTCCAGATAAGTTTCCTCATTGTATAATGAGGGTAAGGATGATGTATGTTGGAGAGCCTGTAAGGCTTAATTTATGGTAAGTGATTCTTAGGTCTGAACTGAATCTGAGCATGGAAAGCTGAGCTCAAATGAAAAACCTTCCATGAAGCTGTAAACACTAAAAGTAAAAATATAGCTTTGAGTATGCACTAGAGTCATAGCCTGTGAATGTTAGCCAGGAGTCCCTGTTGCCTTTTACCTTTTGCGTAGTAACTTTGCACTAAAAGAGCAGCTTTACTGTTAAAATTCCTCAGCTCTGAGCTGGAGAAGTATATACACGCTGAACTGCGTACTGATAATCACAGCTCAAAATGCAAGTGTAAGTTTTATTGCATGCTCTTCCTTTGTTTCCCTCTGTCCTCACTGAACCGTCATGAAAAACTAATTTTGTATTGCATTTGAAGAACTGCCCTGTTTCTGCCTCTCTCTGCAGGCCAGCGAAGCGGAGGAGAATGGATCAGACAGTTTCATGCACTCCATGGACCCTCAGCTGGAGAGACAAGTGGAAACAATCAGGAATCTGGTGGATTCCTACATGGCAATTGTCAACAAAACCATCAGAGACCTCATGCCGAAGACAATCATGCACCTCATGATAAACAATGTACTTATCCCACTGGTTGATAGAGGTGGAGAGCCATAGGGAAGGGGAAAAGTAGGGAGGGTATGAAAAACTGAAGGCAGCTTGAAAGGAGGTTGAGGTGGGGGGCAGAATGGAGTGGTCTGGGACACAGTGGCAACTGATTTCCTCTGTTCTGTTCCTCTGCAGACCAAGGACTTCATCCACTCAGAGCTGCTGGCGAACCTGTATTCCTGTGGTGACCAGAATACGCTGATGGAGGAATCAGCAGAGCAGGCCCAGCGACGTGATGAAATGCTGCGCATGTACCATGCCCTGAAAGAGGCCCTCAACATCATCGGGGACATCAACACCAGCACTATCAGCACCCCAATGCCCCCACCGGTGGACGACTCTTGGCTGCAGGTGCAGAGCGTACCATCTGGACGCAGGTACCAGAGGCTCAGGGGGAGAGCCCCACAGACCTGCCTGATGCCTCTTTAGTGGCTAGCTGGGGCCTCCTACTGAGACAGGGAGTCCTTCTCTTCTCTTCTCCCTGTGGATGAAGAGTTCTGGGTGTTTGTGTTGGGAAGCTTCTATGCCTTGAAAGCTATGTAGGGCTGCTCTATCTTTATGGAAGATGTGGAAGCTGCTAAACCTATAGGTTAGGTGGGGCCTGAAGCAGCTTTGAAGCCTGGCACAGCTCTTGAGAGCCAAGGGTAGTGCTTAAAGTGAAACAAAACTGAAGAAGGACCACTGAAGGCAGCATATGGGGACCTGGTGGTAAAACAGGAGGAGTTCCAGGCCTGTTGTTGCAGTTGAATTTCTCTGTTTGTCAGGTCTCCTACGTCCAGCCCCACGCCGCAAAGGAGAGCTCCCGCTGTGCCACCAGCCAGACCTGGGTCTCGAGGCCCAGCTCCTGGGCCACCTCCTGCTGGTGGGTCAACACTGGGTGGTGCACCCCCTGTGCCCTCCAGGCCAGGTGCCTCTCCTGATCCCTTTGGACCCCCTCCTCAGGTTCCTTCTCGACCTAATCGTGCTCCTCCTGGTGTTCCCAGGTAAGTCCTGAAATACATCTTTGAGGCAAGTGGGATGTGCGCAGCATTTGGGTTGCAGTTTTGACAGTACTTTGTCTGCCCAGGCCATAGAAGACAAGTGGAGTTCTTGGTTTGTGTACAGTCCTCAGCTATTTGAACTTGGTCCATAAGCAGGAGCATCTTTGTCCACTCAGATATTATACAAATGATGCAATGCCATCGTAGCTCTTCGGGAGTAGAGGGGCAGCCTCTTCTGCACCAACCTCCTTGCAGTGGTTGGGGGAAAAGGACCCGGTACCTGAGAGCTTTACTAAAACAAACATACCAATAATTCTGCTTGTAAGTAGGAGATGGTCACCAGAAAATCATGGGACTAGAATGATAGTGTATGTTTCAAGACAATTCTCCTCTGTGTGGGGTTCCCCAAAGCCTGAAGTTGCCCCTCTTTTCCTGGCACAGAGGCTTTTCAAGGCAACGTAGAGAGATCTTCATTTGGGATATTTAGGTGCTTTTTTGCTGTGAGACTATAGTCATGTCACTAGAATGGAAGTTAATTTTTTGTAGACAGTTGTCTGCAGAAGCAACAAAACTTGAATGTTTCCAGACTAAAGGGCTCAGAAGACACAGCTTTGCTTTCCCATTAGGAAACTTAATTCCTCTGCTGTTCAGTCACTTCATACACATTTCAACATAAGTGGTTATCCCCCATGCAGCCATGCACATCTTCCCGAAGAGGAGTTAGGAAGCAATCTAGAACCAAGAATGTGTTGGTACTTGGTCTCCCTGTGAGAAAGTGGAGGCAATTGCAGAATATAGAATGAGTATAACCAGAACCCCCACCCAGCGATACATGTCTGTAAGAACATTTCCCTCTTGGAAAGTGCATCCTCTTCAGTGAGTGCTGGTGCTACATGTCTGAAGCTTTGCCATGTTCTTTGAAAACACCCAACCTGTCAATAGGTGGTGATGGTATATACCCTTGTGGTAGCACCCCACAAACTGCCTGTTTGGAGAAGTGTTCTCTGTCAGGTTGTATCCAGCCCAGAAGCTGGTGAATCCAAAGAGATGATAAATCAGTTACTGACTCTGGTGTGTGCAAATGGTTTTACTTTCTTGGTGCCTCTGCCCCAGTTCTCCCTACATACCTTGATGCAGCTCCCACAGTAACCTGTCCACACATGCCTCAGTATTGCCATAGGTAGCACCTATGGATGTCAGCATGCTTTTGCTGTGTATTTTTTGGCTCTTGCTTCTTGTGACCCTGCTTTTCCATATAGTGTTATTTTGTGGTTTTGTTCTTAGTATACTTCTTAAACTTTGTTCTGTCTCCATCTTCTGTCACGGTTTCATTTCTTCACTCATGAAAAATATTCTATATACCTGATTGTCATGATAGGATCCCCCAAATGACTGAAATTAATTGGCTTTTTTTTTTTTTTTTGGAAGAAATGATGTAGCCTACTTTACTGGCTTTTCTGCCATTTGCATGAAATAGAAAGGTTTAAGGAAAGGTAGGGAACTGCACTGGAGCAGCAGAAGAAAGTGCTTCATACTTAGCAATCCCTTGCTTTAGAAGGAGAGATAGTAGGTTGAATTGCATGCTACTGACTGCCCTGATCTGGAGTTGAGAAAGTAATTCCTGAAGTTGTGAAGTGAAGAAGTTCTCATGCTCTTTCTCTGATCCCCCTCTCTGATTCTTCCAGTCGTTCATAGACTCCTCCGGATCCTGATACCAGCTTGTCATTTGAGTTCACTGATGAATGGAGAATTTCCAATGACAAGGGACTCTTTCTCTTCTTCTCCTGTATATAGAATAAGAATGTTCCCTGCTAGCACTTGGACTCGGGTCCTTCTGCCATGGGTGAACGAATGCCATCTCCACTTTTGCTTTTTTAATACCCATCTTTTTCCCTTGCTAACTGGGCTACACTATTTTGTGTGTGTGGGAGAAACAAAGCCCTTGTAGATGGCATGAGTGGGCTGTGCTGTAGGAGTTGGTGCTATGTAGTGAACTGGAAGTGCATGGTGGTGGCTGGGTGTACTTAGTGTGCATGTGCACATTGATACCTGTGTAGAAGTTCAGCTGTATGTTTGTGCCTCCGGTTTGTGTGAGGATCTGATTTTATGGATGATGAACTTAAAGATAAATGTTGCTCCACTTTTCTCATAAACACAATTGCATAGACATGCGTTCACATACAAACACCACATGGTCCATTTTCTTACATGGGATGGTCTTCCTGCATATAATTAAGTACTCTTCAAACTGACTTTGCACCCTGCCTCTGTACTTAGCGTTTATTCAATCTACTACAGAAGTCCATATTACCACATGGAGCTCCTCCATTTAGGAGCTGAAAGCTGCAAATAATAGAAGGTCCTGTCTGTGTAATGAAGGACTGTATGTATTAGGACTGCATGCTCATTTGGGATATTTAGAAGGATTTGGTCTGAGAGAAAACTATCCCACCAGGCACTTAGTCTCAAGTTCAAACTTTGACAAAAGCTATAGGTGAAAGTTCAGGCAAGTTCAAAGGAGAAATAAGAAACTTAAATGAGAATGACTTAACCACTGGAAAAATCTGTTGAAGGCAGTAGTGAGTTCTCTGTTCTTTGGTATGTCTGACGAAAAAGATTCAAGTGATTGGATCACTGTAAACAACTTCACATTTTTATCACTTGAGTTACTCATTAGGTGAAAGGAGCTGATCTTATTATTGGTGACCTTTTAAATATCTTCACCTGTCTCCCTCTTCTGGGTAGTACTCAGTGCTCAGTATGACATGTTACCTCCCTCTTTCCTGAGCTGTCTGTTTTGACTCTAACACTTAATATGGTCAGAAAAAATACGAATTCTCAATGAGATGAGTCAACCCACCTGTGCCCAGCTGCCTGGTGCTGAGACCTAGGTATGCTCCAGGCTGAGCAAGTGTGAATGTATTTGGGGTCTCTGGATGTGTGAATAGAGTTGTGTCTCCAGCTGGGTGGGAGAGTGAGCAGCAGCTGGTGGTGTGTGAAGAGAGAAATGGATCTGAGCACGCCGTCATGCACAGCAGGGTTCTGGATGTGTGTAAAGATGAGGCTGTGAATGTGTGCGAAGTCCTGCATGACTGAGTGCAGCCCTACCCAGCAGTGCACACTCGTGTGGTGTTCTGGGAGGGGGGGCATGTGAATGTGGCTCTGTGCAAGTGCATGTCTATCTCTGTTCCGCCTTCCTGACAGTCTGTGTGGCCTCTGCCTTGAACTGTCTGAACTGCCATGTTGATTTCATGTTGTCTTTCAGAATCACTATCAGTGACCCCTGAGGACTGGCAGCCACGGTACGTTTTGCACTCTCCCTGCAATGCATGACTCACTGTGTCCCCATCCTCCATCACTTTGCTCTGCAGCTTAGCACTGCTGCCTTGTTCTTGTATTAGTAAGAGTCCCTTGTCCAATGAACCACCTCTGCCAGGATCTCATAAAGGGAGGAGTCTTGAACAGAAAAGCTGGCTGATCAGAGACAGTGCTGGCTGCTTGAGCTGCAGGAGCTGGGAAAGCCTCCCTACCTGATGTAGGGTTACTAGAGGACCAGTTCTCTGCTTCCAGGTAGAGGAGCTGGGATGGGGGAACCGAGTGCTGGCAATAAGGTCTAAACAGCAGTGTCTTTCATTTGGCTTATACCCACATTAAGTGGGAGACTAACAGAATTAATTCTGTTTTGATCTTGTCAGCTGTGTTAAGGGTGAGATAGAGACCTGGGGAGCTGTTAGTTCAGACTCCTCTGCTTATATTCAAACATCTGGCTGGAGAAGTGCTCCCTTCCTCTCTGTGTCCCTAGTGCTCATGGAAGGCAGGAGGAGTTTGGGTCATTAACAGCAGGACTTCCATGCCTGAGTACGGGATGCCTCTGACACTGAATGTTCCCTGTTACCCTTGCATCCCATGATGCCAGTTAGAAGTAAACTCCCTTTGCTCATTCTCCACTTGACCCTCTACCTCTTTCATTATTCTTCTGCCTCTGTTCAAGTTGCCTTCCCTCCTCTGCCACTGCAAGAGGGAAGGGTTTAGTGATCTGTGTCCTCCCCTAACCTCTGCCCCAGGTTCCTGCCTGCTTCCCTTTCCCATCTCCCTGTGTTTTGCAGCCTTGTACGTGCTCAGTGACATAGCAGGCTACCGGGGCAGGCTCAATGTCTATTATGCTGGCCAGATATTCAAGGACCAGCTCTTCCTTGTGCCCTGAACGATGAGGGTGGGGGTATGAAAAGGGACGTCTTGCAAATTCTCCTCAGTCTTTTTCCTAGGAACCTCTAGCCCTTAGTAACAAAAGGGTAGAGGAGGCAGAACAGGGCAGGTGTGAGTGTTTGGGGTTCCTTCTCCCTTTCTCTGTGGACATTGTTCCTCAAAATGAAATCTCTGAATCTGAGAGGAGTGGAGCAGCAGCTCCTTTAGTTTCCCTTGCTGCTGGTCCTGGGAGGCTGAGCTGGGGGAGTGAGCCCAGAAGTCCTAATAGGAATAGCAGCAGTTCAAGCTCCTGTGTCAGGTTAGGAGAGCTCAGAGCTAGTGGTGAGTCTACAGATTCTCAGCTAGGACCATCCCGCAGCAAATGGAGACTGCTACTGCTGCATGGAGCTGGAGCTGAGAGGTGCCACATCCCATCAAACTGATGCAGGGATTGTTCAGTGATTGACATGCTCTCTGAGGATGTCATCTGTCAGTCCTCACTGATGACATACTGCAGAGGTGTTGGAGCAAATCAGCATTTTCTAATACTCTGCCTACCGCAGACATCCCTAGCAGCTCTAGAAACATGCATCTTGGTAAAATACTGAAGGAAAGAGGCTTGCTGTTGTCTGTACCTCTTTCTGGGACTTGCTGTTATGGGGTATTTTGTTCTTAGTCTGGCACAAAGAGCACCAAGGAAATAAAAATTAAAAAGCACCCCAATTCTCTAATAGCAAGCTTTTGCAGCCCAGGGGAATGTATGTAGTGTTTTACCATCCCTGTTAGGTTCTCATTAGCAGAATTCATAATTACCCTGCTGTTTTCTGGAGATGACTAGCTCAATGTTCTACTCTGGGTATGGCTTGAAAGACTGACCCCAAGGGAGGGGACAGTGTAGCTGGTCTGCTCGGGCTCCTGCCAGGGTCTGTCTTACCTCGTACTGGAGCTTCCCAGAGAGCAGAACTCTTTCTTCTGTCAGGAGAACAGATACTTTTCAGTGGTGTAAGAGGGCTTGGCTAGCAATGTAGCGAGACAAACTGAAGCAGCATTTTGGGGGTAGATGGTGCCTGAGATAACTTTTCCATCTTTTTTTTTTTCTGGGAAATAGTTTTCAGCCTTTGTAACCTTACAAGGCAGATACTCCAAACACCTCAAGAAAACTTCCAGAAAACCTGAGCAGAGCTAAAACACATAACTTTAAAAAGTGATGGTCTGACCCCTAAAATGCTATGACTGGTAAGAGAAATTAGTTATTTGCAAAAAAAACAATCTAGTACATCACAAAAAGCAGCATGTCTACCAGAATATTGTTTGTGCTCCTTTGAGCCTTATTTGTTCTGGTAGGGTCAAGTGGCCTCCCTTGCCAGAATGCTTTATGTAGTCCAATGGCTTCAAGTATCCTTTTTGTCTAAATCCACAGAGGCTGTCAGGACAACCTGTCCAAACTCCTGAAATGCAAAAAGCCCTTAAAGTTCCTCAAAAAATGCTTTCTAACACATATAACAGCGCACCAGTGTCTCACTAAGGGTTGAGCTGGAGTTTGTAAAGTTTCAATTTCAACAGTCTGTTAGTGTTCCAGTGAGAGAAGGAGCCATTAATGGTTGGTATGGCCACATCTACACCATGAGCACCCTCTAGAGAGAACGTACAAATCCCATATGTCATGAAGGCCCAGGATTGCAGATTCCCTAGCTGTAATTTACTGCAAGTTTTGCTTCTAGCAGATTGGTATTATTTCAGCATCCATCCAAGATGGCTGTAATTTCCAGGCTCACTCAATCCCATCATTTGCTTTACAGGAGAAGTAACTTGAGTGGCATGCTGATGACAGGGTCTTGCACTCCCAATTGACATTTTCAATCAAGGAAATAACGTTTCCAAATGTTTTTACTGTCTGAGCTTTTTAAATGTATCATTACCCAAGGCAAAGGAACAAGTGGCTGTAATTGTTTTGAGATCTGAGGCTTAATCAATATGGAGCAATAAACTCTGCTGAGGTCTAATAAACAGGACTATAGAGTTGCTCTGGTTCATTTGCTGAGATAAGGGAGCTTGCCCCAGTTTATAAGGCTATAGCTCCTCTGGTAGAAGCAATGATTATAGGTTTGCTGTCAGTGCAAAGCAAGACCTCTCTATCTCAGACTATACTAGTACAAATATCTTCCTCTGCCTCTTTCCCTACCTTCCCCCAAGCTCCCCCTGTACTGGGAGGGCCTTCATTTCCAGCAGTCACTTGATTCTCTGTAATCTAAACTAAAGCTTGTTAGTGTGGAAATGTTCTGGTGTTAATTCAGTGACACCTGATTCTGTTTGATTAATGCAAATGCTTCCTCTTCGTTTGGTCTTTTGGTTTGCTCTTTGCATTTCAGGCAGTTTGGACTGTAAAACTACTGACTTGGTCCTGAACAATTTAATTATCACTATGGTACACAGTCATGATGCTGACACTGCAGGGAGCGTGCTTTAAAGGAAGAATGTAGGATGAACTTACCGACTTCCAGAACACCCCTTTTTCTTAGTTATTTGTAGGCTTCCTTAAAGCCTGTAGTCTGAGCCTAAAGCGGTCCTTCAAGTAATGAGTTGGGAGTGACAGCAGAGGTGTTGTCTTGTACTTTCTGCTGTTTCCCCCCAGTCCTGTACAAGAAGGAGATCCTAAAACAACAGCGTCTGACCCCTGCATGGATTGCATTGCTGCCAACATACCTAAAGTACCAGCAAAAGAGCTGAAACAGTAGCAATGCTTGAAGTACCTCTATTAAAGTCAGAAGTTGCTTTGGCTGAGCCCAAGAGCTAGAGAACTAAGGCAGCAGGCTTGGCCCTTCTATCAAGGATCAGTGTTGTGTATTAGAATAGAGAGAGCTGGGCTTCAGGCAGCCTCCAGGGCAGGGGAAGTAGGTGCTCCTCCAAACCAGCCAAGACCCTCTGGCAGCGTGTCTCAGAGGACCTCATCCATGCTGTGTGACTGTCATGTGCTTGATACAGGAGCTCACTGTTGTCCATGCTTCTCAACTCTCATCCCAGAGCCAGGGCGCTCACTGGCACTAAGTCTGCATTTCCAAATTTCCAGAGGGAAAGCAAAACTGGCTGTCCAGCAGACTGCTTGAATGGTGACCCGTGCTGTGCAGAAAGTCCAGTGTGAGGCCTGATAAAACAAAAACATGCAAGACTCCTGTATGGAGTTGCACTCCTGTGCAAGTTTGTGCCTCAGTAGTTTTTTTTCCTGTTGCTGGCTCAGGCGAGGTGGAGAAGCATGCGTGATTGTGACTGCGATTGCTGTGCTAACCACAGTGTGTGTTCTCTTGTTTTTGTTCTCTGCTTTTTCACAGCAGAAGGGGCCCTGCCTCACCTACTCGACCTACCATAATCCGACCGGCTGAACCGTCCCTCTTAGATCTATAACTCGAGGCTGTAGACAGCTGGCGACGAATGCCGTGCTGGCGGCTTCCCCATTCCACCCTCCCTTCCACAGCCACAGTCACTCCTCTCATCCATCCCACATCTGCCTCCCACCGCCCCTTCCTGGTGTGTCGTAAAACACTAGCCTAGTGATTGAGCTCTTCGTCTTCACTCGTGCGTCCTGTATTGCTTTGTGAGCGTAGAGTAGCCTTCATTCAGTGGCACGGATCCCTGAAGTACACAGGCTCCTTGGAGAGATCAGCCGCAGGGACATCCTTAAGTCCAAGCGGTGGCTGTCCGTCCAGTTATTCCATCTGCCTGGTCTAGCCTGGATAAGTGTCCTGCCTGCATCAGTTAGCTGTAGCACCTAGGACTGATCTGTAATTATTCTTTTCTCATAGTTAAGAAGATAAAAGTGTGACTTAGGAGCAAAATGCTGTCAAACGTGACACTGTTAGGAACAGATTACGTGTCCTGTGTATTAGTTTGACTTCTAAGGTGCAAAAATTCATGTTGGGAACAGTGCAATCTACCTTATATCAAAGCGAGGCAGGGAGATGGAGAAGGGGGGAACTCAATGGATCGGCATAGTCCTCTAGAGTGAAGTCTGAGATAGCGCACACACCTCAGCGTGCAGGGAGCACACGGACCTGCTCGTGCTCAGCTCTCCAAAAGGGCTGGGGAAATCCTGCTGGTGAAGCACTGGCTCCTGCCAGCAGCTGTCTTGCATCATCATTTTTGGCTGACTTTCCTGAACCCAGCAGGGAGAGGGGAATAGATACGCTGCTCCCCCCTTGCAAATGGACAACCAAATGTTTTCAGGGAGTTTGCGTTGTAATGTTTTGTTGAAAATATTTCTGCTTTGAATAAGCACATCTCTCAGTGTTTTTGGTACTGTGGTGACTTCTTCCGTAGCCTTTTCTTGCATGTGGATGGTACGTGTTTGGGGAAACTTGTAACTGTTGTTTATCACGACTCATCTTCTTAAGGTTTGTTTTTTACTCTTCATGTTACGTGTATTAAAAATACTACAAAAAAAAGACTTCAGAATTAAAAATGTATCAACCCTGTACATCTCGGATGTTATGTCTCTACCAGAAATGAGCCACCCATGTTGCAGACTTCCAACTAGGTCTGATTCAGATTTAAGTTCTCTCTTTCCAGTGTGATTGTTATGAATTTCTGTTGTGGATCCTCTATTGTTCTGATGACAGTTCCTTTCTGTATTTTAACTATTGTTTTACTACCTCTTCCCCCTCTTCCTTCCCTTCCCCCTTTTCTTTCTTGTCTTCAAATTCCAGCCGGCCGGGTAAGGCCAGTCCCTCCCGCCCGGAGAGCCCAAAACCACCATTTGACATGTAGGCCTGCTCCCTCTGAGACTCTTTGCCTGCCTCTTAGCTGTTCTGTCCTGGAATGGTCTGACTCAAACCTCACACATGGCTTGTTCTGTTTGTATTTTGTGATACACACATTATCAGATGTGACTGTAGTGAAACTGTTTTTTTTTCTCTTCCCAGCTGCTTTAAAGGAGTTAAACAAGTATATTGTAGTAATGAGAAACATATCTTTACTGTTATAAATATCTATAAATATATATATATAAAGATGGAAAATCTATATATGTCCAGGTGTTTAAAGCCATTTGTGCTTCCATGTGGATTTTAGGAAATGCTTAAGTAGGGAAAGAATATCTATATACATATATATATACACCCCAAAAAAGTTAACCAAATCCTGATGTTGAGTTTTTGAGCTGATTGTTAAATTCTCTGCTGTGTGCAGTTGGGTTAATGTACTACCCCAGACTTGTGGGTGACCTGTCTCAGTGCTGGTAGTAGCTGTGATGCAGTTTGTGATCTACCTGTCACTCTTGTTTATTGGATGAAATAAACTATCATTTCTGTATAATGAAGGACTCCACGACTAGAATAAAACCATCTCTTGCTCTTGCTCTTTCTCTGGGTGAATTTCAAACTGTTTAATTATAACCTGATCTTTTCATCCCGTAGAGTTTAAAAAGCTATACATGCAAGCAGGTGCTCTCACTAATAGGGATGCTGGAACAGATCTGCATCAACAGTGGTGTCCAGGAGCTGCAGTTGAGTGAAACAGCTCATCATGTGCAGACGTTAACTCCCTTCCTCCATTGGAAAGTGCAGTGAGGTGCTTCAGTGACTGGACACACAGAAGGTGGGAGTTTTGCACACACAATTGCTTAGTTCTTAAAAAGGTATTTTTGTATATGCCTATTTGTGGAACACAGCAAGCAGGCACCGAGCTGTAGTTTCTGCGGCAAGCAGTGCCTTCTGGGTCCGTATCCAAAGCACAGACCAAACAGTCGTAATGCACAGGGATGGATTCTACTTGGAATTTGCTTTTAACCTGAGGTGGCATTTCTGTCCTAGGATAAACTGGGTAAACCTACTGCTACTGTCTCCATGCCAGAACAGTGCTACAGGTTTCAGGTCATGCTGTTTCTCAGCAACAACCCTGTTTCTCCCTAATTTAACATTGCTCTCCTAACGATCACAATGAATTCCTTAGGCCCCTGTGGAGCAGGGTTCCAGCACTACTACCCCAGGAAGAATCAAGGAGGTTGGGGTTTCTGACCTGCATCACTGCAATGCTGATGCCCGATTTAGTCCTGGTTGCTGTTGGCTGCAGCTGGCTGTGGTACTTGTCTAAATCTCCCTAGTAATATTTTTAATAAGCTGAAGTTTTCCTCAAAGCTTCTATGTACAGTGGATACTGGTGTGGGCTGGGTGAATAGAATAGATCTCTAGTGATTTCTTCCTGTGCATCTTCTAGCTATTTCTGTCCTTGCACGTTCTTGAGTTGTAATTTCAGCTTCTACGCAACTGAGCCAACAACCCAGTGCTTGTCCTACCTTGTTTCTTTTTCTTCACTGGAACTCTTCTACCTATACCTGGTACTACCCAGGGCTGTTCTTAAAGAACATGTTATTTTAATTTAAACTAATTATTCAAGTGAGTAGTGGAGCCTTAGTTTGCAACCTCTGATCTGCTGGTTGTCAATGGTTAAGTATGTTATGATGTGAATACCAGCTACCCTGCCCAGGCAAGAGAAACTTTTACCCCTGACCTAGAGCCTTGTCAAACAAATTGTCCTGGCTCCAGCTGTTTCCTGTTTGCTTGGTGCTTCTGGCCTTTAGGAAGCATTTTCCTGCTCTTCCTAAAACCAGAGGTGGCAGAGGCAGTCCAGTTACTGTAAGTTAAAGGTAAGGTATGTCAGCTGAACAATAGTTAGTGTCATCTTAGTGTACTACGTTTAAAGGTGAGATTGGGAAAATGATTCTAGAGGGAAAAGGATTAAAAAAAAACACAGAATCTGGAGTTCATATATGAAATTAGTAGCTAAGGGAAAAGCATCTAGACATGGCAGCAGTCTGTCTACAAGAGAACATTCGTAAAAGCTAAGTGGAAAGGGCATCAGTGCCAAGGTGGGAGTTTCTGGGGTAATTTTTCTCTATAGTTTTTTTAACCAAACTTCAAAGTGATCTGAACAGAAGAAATACACCTAGCCAGTACCCATCTGAATAAGTTTATTCAGAAAGCATGTCTGTAACAGGACTAAGTCACCTTTGCAGCAGCCTGCAGAGTTTCTTCAACAGCTTCTCCTTCACAGCTATGGAGAAGAACACTTAATAAATATTTATTCCATTTATAATGTTCTGCATTAAATCACAACCCTGCCCCTTGGTTATTATGATACAGATCATGAGTAGCCTGAGCAGGTATAAACACTGTACCAGGCTGGTCTTCCTTCAAGGAATATACAGCATTTTACAGATACATTATGTACACAACCCTATGCAGCCAGGAGCATGAGGGCCCCTATCACTCATGTTGTGCCATTAACAGACCACAATAGGGCCAATTAAGTGAAAGGAAGTCAAAAAAACAGCTTCCACCTTCCTCTGGTGGGTTCATAGGAAAACCTCTTGTTCCATGTATGCTTCTAGTTGTATACGGAAAACTCAAAATGAACCATTAAAAAAAAAAATAAAGCCTTAACCTACTTTTGGCATTAGAAGAAAACTTCTGTTATATTAGTAAAGCTCACCTAACTCAGACACCACTGTAAACACAGGCTGGTGTTGACAAATGGAAAAATTGATACTGCAGTTGTGTGCTTGCACCTCTCATTTAGACAGCTCAGCCTGCTCCTTCAGGCACTAGCCCAGCTTAGTACTTCTGGACTGCACAGCTGTAGAAGTCAGGTCCTCTTTAAAACTTCATTGCTGAGGCTGTAACTGTATTAAGAACAGGGAGTTTGTGTCTGAAAGACTTAGTTGTAAGGTATCTGCACGAGTGTTTGTACACCTAAGGGCTTTGCTTTGCTTTGCTGTCACTTTGGGGACCTCTATTCACAGCATGTTTTCCCCTTAGAATTAGGCCTCTTGCTTCAAGGCAGTGTCAGGTACCACCCTCTTTGAGGTGGGTAGATTACAACAACCTTTGCCACCTGCTCAATGTATTTCTTACCAAAATGGGAGAAGAAATTTAAGAGAGAGAGAACCATACCCCCCTAAAATCCAGAAATTCAAAACAAAGCATGTTTATTAAGTGGTTTCCTTTTACTTATTTCTCCCATTTTTTTAAAAATAAATAAAACCTTCAGACACATACAAGTGAAACACGTCATCCTTCAAAGTGCAGTTACATTTCCACCCCACTCCCAATAATCACATAAAGCTTTGTCAAGTAACCGAAAAGACTCAAAAGGCAACCCTCAGCCCCTTCCCCTAGCGATGAGAATAAATGGGTCTGTAGTGCTGCCTAGCTAGCCAGAAGCCTGGAACTTTTGGCTGTTGAAGACCGCCAAGGCTGGTTTCAGATACAGTTGCGAGAGGCAGGCTGCTGTGGAAAATGGGAAATTAAGATACATGGTGTGAAACAAAAGCAACCTGGTTAGAATCCAAAGAGTTTCTGTTACCAGAGGACGTTAGTTACTGGGGGAGCCTTGGAAGGAACTAGGCAGGTTACAGTCATGAATGCTGGATGAGAGCTGCTGCTCAGTCGCTGCTGTGAAGCTGGGTGCTGGCAGCAGAGTCCTGGGCAGGGATACAGGACAAAGGCTCAAGGAATTTTGCCCGAAGTCATGGAGTCCCTTCCCCCAACCCACACTGGGCCCAGGTGATGTGCTGGCACCTGCTGCCTCCCCCTAATTTGAGCCAGCCTGTACTCCAAGCATACCATGGAACAGAAGGAAGATGAGGTCTGATGCTCGAGTTCCATCTGATGCAATCCTGCTTTCCTGCTGTCTTTAGAGCAGAGCTCTGTTCTCACCAAGGGCACTGAGCAGCGGTATGGGCACATACAAGTCAGTTTAGTCCTTGCAGGCTCATAGAAAATTGCTGTAAGAATTGTTGCCACTTAAACCACCATGATTTTGACCTCATTGTTCTCATCGGCGCGGTAGAAGAATGGAATGCAGGGGTTTTCCAGCAAGGAGCCCACCCTCTCCTGAGGGTTCTGGATTTCTCTGAGAAGCTGCATTATTTGCTTTGCTGTGGGGTCGTCTTGGCTTGGCTGAGCAGCTTTAGTGTCAATAGGGGAGAAACTGGACTGATGAAAAGCAGCAGCCTCTTGTTCTGCTTCATCTGATAAATTCACTTCTCGTAACCCTGTAAGGCACACAAGACAAGGCAGACAGGTAACTCTTCCCATCCATGTACAACAGCAAGACCTTGGGTTATTCCATTTTATGTAGCTTGTTCTGGCTACAGCTTACCTTCTCCATCGGTAGCATTCAGTTCGATGCGCCTCTCCACGGGCAGTACACTTTCATTCTGGCTTGCTAACAGCTCTGGGTTTTGAGCAGCTGCTACGTACTTGCTGTACCATTCGTTCCTTTCCCTGACCAGGCGCATCACTAAATCCTGCAGTTCCAGTAATTTCACCTGTACCAAAGTAAAGGAAAACCTATGAAGCATACGCATCCCCGAGGCCACAAACTATGCTATAGTTTGTTGTCCCGCCTCTCACGAAATCAGCAACTTCAAGATTAAAGCTAGCTGAACAACAGCTTGGGAAGGTTTATACTGTGCGGGTGCTCCCCAGGCCTGCCTCCCATTGTGTGCCCTGCCTGGATTAGTACTACAGAAAAGATTCCTTGCCTTCATCTCTTCCTTATCTTGAGCCAACCTGCTGATGTACTCTTCTTTCTCCTGGTGCCGCTGCTTGAGGATAGCCCTTTGACTCTGGTACAATGCAATGTACTCCCCTGGAGCACAAGAGAAGCATAAGGAACAAGTGTTAACGGGATTAGGGCATAAACCTTACCATAAGCACAGAGCTGTGCTGCATGAGGATCCAGCAAATCCAACCCTGGAGTGGAAGTTTAGCCTAGCTAGGCAGCAGCAGGAGACTTGAACTGCTTGGTATCTGGGAGGCTCCAGCTCCAAAAGCTAGTCCCCAAATAACACACTGAGCGAGCTCTAGCTTGTGTTGTGTTGCCTATACATACCAATGGTGTCTGTTTCCCCAGACAGCTGTATGCAGCGATGTTCTAACTCTTCCAGCCGTTCCTTCAGATCAGCTTTCTCACGCATCAGATCTGTGAAACGGGACTGAACACAGAAATTGGCATTAGTTTCAGCTGCTCACATATAGGAAATACCCATGTTAATGACACCCTCCATTCACAATGGTCTGAACCTAGGAACAGTTCTTGCTGCCTTTACAACTACTCTGTGATTTGGTGGTAAAAAGGAACTAGAGAAGGGCTCTGCACTTTGGGGAGCAGCAGATGGAACAAAGTGCCTTTCAGCCTTCTCACTGCAGGGATAGCACAACTCCGGTCATACTCAGCTCCAGGACTGCACCTCTCAGCAAGGTGAAGATAGTCTGGTTTTCATTTATTTCTTTAGAAAAAAAACCAAAACTATAAATAAGTGAGCGTTAGGCCCTTACAGTCTTTAGGGTAGTGTAGGAGGGAATTACTACTCCAAGCTTCCTGCGATGAGACAAGCAGCAATAGGCTTTTTAGAAAATAGCTTATTATTACAGAACAGCTGCACCATATTCCCCTACAATTTGGTTGTGTGTACTACAAGGGTCTGACACTGGCTGAAAGTCTAGCTGGGTGGGATAGCGGGGCCGAAAGAAGATCAGATCCTTTACTTACCTGTAGTTTCTCCATGGCAGTTTTCAAAGCCTCATGAACCTCCACTGGAACAGTATCCATGGTGGAATCTGGAAGGAACACATGTAATTTACACAGTCTCCTTGGTCAGGATGCACTCATAAAACCCCTAGGTCTATTTCACAGAGGCCAGGGTCAGCTGGCTGGGGCACACCTCAGTATTCAGAGTCTCCGAACTGCACGAAACTTTACCTCCACTCAGCACGTTACGTTGCTGCTCCTGCCGAAGAGCTGCTATTTGCTGCAAGAGGCTTCTGCACTGCTGTTTCTGAGCAGCCAGCTGCTGCCTCATATCTTCTCGTTCCTTTTCCACTTGAGACATGGCAGACATCAAGAAAGCAACCTGAGATAAATTCCCAAGTATACAGGTTAGTGTTTCTCCTGTGTTTAGTATGGTCAGTTATACATCACAGGGCAAACAAAATAAGAGAATCTACCCTATGTTATTTATGGGTAGGAAACCCTGCCGTGGGATTACACCAGGCAGCAACTACTGCATGTCTTCTCATCCCCAAGTAATACAAATCATTTCTTCTCTGCAGATTAAACTTGAACTCCCATGATAACTGTTTGATCACAATATTTTCCAATTATGACTGTACTTAGAGAAAAATTTAATAGATTTTCAACACCATTTCCAAATTGCCTTCCAAACTAAGGAGGACATTAGCAACACAATAATTAGAGCGACTGCCAGCTGAATTGTCTTCATAATTAAATAAAGCCACTGCTGGACTTCCAGCCTGTCTTTCAAGAATGCTGCAGAACTCTTGCTTCTAAGCTGCTGTGCACAAGGGGCTATTAACATTTCCCTCACTATTGTGCCTCGGTAGGTAGGGATCACAGCTGATAAACAGCTTATGTGATGCACGCAGTGGAACCGCTCTGCAGCTTAATCTACCTCCCCTTTTCTAGACATTTGTTCACAACTGATAACAAAAGCTTTTCTACACATCAAGACCCACCATTTCTTCATGGCTTTCAAACTTCTCTGGGATCACTAATGAAGGTTTTGGGATTTCTTCAGTCATTGCTTCACTTTCAACTCCATCTCCTGTAAAAGAGGGAAGGCGAACAGAGAGTTAATGCCCCAGAGAGCCCAGCTCTACCTCCTCCCTAGAGACCAGCTGCAGCTACTCACCTTCTAGTCTGTGCAACATCTTGTCATCCAGCTCTGCTGCTAACTGACTGATCTGAGCCTGTAGCTCTTTGTTTTCCTTAGCTACTGCTTCCAGACTTTCCTACAAGAGAGAAGCAGAAATTCACAGGAGTTCTACACCTAAAACCCGCACAAACCAGACTGTAGACAGTCACTACATTTTGAGGCAGCAGCATCACACACACACAAAAAGCAAGCAGTGCTTCTGCTCCAGACATCATTTTTGCCTCCAGTCTTCCCACTTGCCCCTTTGCACTGTTACCTTGGTCTGCTGCAGTTCCTTCAGGTGCATTTCCACTGTCACCTTCCCCTGAACTTCCTCATGCTGCAGCCGATCCATAAGCTGTGTCTGAAGCAAGTACTGTTTGTGCAGCTCCTCCTTCTCAGCAGCCAGTTGCTGGTATGCCACAGTGTACTGTTGTAAGTGGCTGTAGTATTGGTCCCGTTGTTCCTGCAGAGCCTGAGCCTCCTGTGTTTTCAGTTCCAGCTAACATAACAAGACAAAACCACCAGATCAGACCATTTTGCCAGAAAAAGATCCATGTGGCATGATCCAAACTGTCAATGTTGCCCCAAAACCACCAACCAGGCAGGCAGCCGCCATCTGCCCCCACATGCTGGTCCCCCACATCAGACAGCAGATGATGTGGGGAGGCTCCCAGCTTGATCATTACAATACCAATTTCCATCTTTCCATTAAAGTTTGGTAAATTGCCAGCTCTTCTTTGCATAAACTGCTACACACCTGTCCTGCCGTCCTACTGCTGTTACTTACTGTCTCTTTGAGCTCCCCCAGGTTCTCCTGCAGCTGCCCAAGCTTCTTGGCCAACTCCTTCTTTACATGTTGCTCTGACTGCAGGGCACTTGTAACCTCCATGTTTTCGTTTGTCTGCAAGAATCCAGTACCACTGTATAAGGAAATTGCCCCAACCACCATAAGCATATTCTCGTATAAACTATATCAGTAAGCCCTGTTCATTCCCTGATACAACAGGGTGCCATCCCTTGTTAATCTGAGGTGTACGTGCGGGCCATAAATTGACTCTTCAGGGCAGTAAATAACTTTGTTTAAAAAAAAAAAAAAAAGGTTCAGAAGACAGGAGCAAGGAAAGAGGCAGGGGAATCAGTGCTGGGACAGTGCCAAGAGGAGGCCTGGCCCATCACACAGCCTGTCAGCTCCAAAGCAGATGGGTGACATGAATATCCCAAATAAAGCACTAGGCATTCAAAAACAAGACGAGAAGTTCAGAAAGGACTAAAGAAAAACCAGTGACCAGGCCATCTGTCAGTGTGCCAGGGCCCCAGAGGAGAAGCTGCTACATTGAAAGAAACAAGCAAGAGTGAGGATTCAGCTCCAGGACAGAAACAATAACAGCAGCAGGACAGAAGACTGCTGAGAATTTCTTCCTCACAGGCAAATACAGGGAACAGAAGACAGGTGTCTTCAAAGGTAAAAAGGCTGTAAGAATATTCCAGGGGAAGAAACAGCCTGCCTGCCAGTAGAGGAGAATGAAGAGGAAACTGCTCTGGACAGAGATACTTGTTTGTTTGTCAGAGCACCTGAAAGAGTACAGAGAGGGAACCTCCTAGCATGGCAATATAAATCACAGAAGGTGGAGCAGCCACAGCTCCAGACAGATAATGCTTCTGATAGTTTTTGTGGTTTTTTTTGTTTGTTTTTTCTCTTTATATGCATTTGTGCAAAAGGATTGCACCAGTGTGGGTAACAGTGGGAAAAGAAGCATGAAAGAGACATACCAGTTTGACAAACCCGTTCTGCAGTTCAGCCAGCTGTTCCTTCAGCTCCCGATTTTGGCTCAGTGCCCTACTGATTGTGGCCTTGTCACTCTGCATGTTCTCCAGGATCTGCTGTCTGTCCACGGATTCCTCGTTGTATCGCTGCACAGTCTTCTCGAGCTCCAGCAGCCGCTCCTCCTGCTCCCTGTTGAGGTGGCTCAGTTGCTCGTTGTCCCGGACCTGGGCCTGGTATTGCCCATGCAGTTCCTCCTTCTCCTGCTGCAGCCGCTGGATCTCTTCCTGCAGACTCAACTCAGCCTCTGTAGGCCCTGCTGGTGAGGAAGGCTCAATATCCATGGGTTTTACTGCTAAGGAAGTGGAAATAAAAACAGATCAGAGGAATGGATTGCTTGTGTAATACACATCAGAGCTATAGAAAGCATACCCCAGCGTGTGGCACTGGGACTCAGAAGGTATAACCAGCCACAGTATCTAGAAGAGCAGGGCATTAAGAGGAATGAGGGACCGAACTACCCCCAAAACCAAGCACAACACCCAGCTGTGTGCTGCCCTCTCCCTCACAGCCCTAGCAAGAGCATCCCACCTGCCTGATCTCCCGGGCCCAAGCGACTGACAGTACAGCCAGGCAGATACTAAAGACAAAAACCTTCTGCTTATCAATTACTTGAGGTAGTTCAATTGCTCTCTGACAGGATGAAAGGTTTTTCACGATTACCACTCTTCCCACCACCTTCATGATTTCAGAGCATCAGACCCACGTGTATACGCAGAAGTTCTGGCACAGCAGGGACAGAGTTAACCTGCTGGTACTCTGTGATATGAAGTCCCACTCTGCAAGTCCTACCTGATTTGCTTAACAGCTCTGTAACATTGGCTTCCAGCTCTCGAATTTGGGCCATATGCTTCTCCTTCTCCTCTGCCATTGTGTGGACCTACAAGGCCACACAGGTGAAGGTTAAAACAGCACACATGGTGCACTCACTCCTGTGTTCACCAAAAGCAGCTGTGATGCTGCCCGTGAGGTTACCTGCTCAGCGAGCTGCTGTACTCGCTGCTGCCAAATGCTCCCCTCTTCCTTCAGTTTCTCTACATACTGATCTCTTTCTGTCTGGAGCTGGTGAAGTGACTCCGAGAGCTGTGCAAAGCAGAACACAAAGAAAATTGTATCAGCTGAATAAATTAAATGGCTGACTGCATAAAGGATAAAGCTTGAGAAAAACAGCACAAAGCTCAGGCTGCGTTCTTCTGCCATACAAGTTTCTTTACAGAAGTCAGGAATTGGATCATCAATGTACTTAATACAACACCTTACCTGAGCAATCTGGGTTTCCAGGCTTGCCCTCTCCTCCAGTGCCATCTGCAATTGCTGGTTTACATCCAGATTCCCTGACTGATTAGAGAACTGCCCACAAAAAAAATCAAGAAATGATGGCAAAATGTTAGTATCCAACTTCTGTGTAGCTTCTCCCCTGATTTTAACCATCCACATGACCCATTTTACAACCCTCTGTAGCTCTTTAAAGTTCTCCAACTCATACTGAAGTACGTGTATCAACAAAGTAGTGATTAAAATCAGAAAGCTTAGATTTTAGCCTGGTAAAACAAGCTCAACTGGGCAGTTCCTCCCTAACAATTTTATATTTAGTATTTTTTTTTAATTAAGAAAATGGGCTTTAGTCAAATCACTTGGCTCAGAAACTTCATGCATTTCAAGAGTCTGTACTACACAGACCGGTCAGATGGTATAAAAACTTGTGACCTTAAAAGTTGACAAACATGCCAGGAATTTAAAGCCAGTGCCTGGAACATGTCAGTGGACTAAGCAACAAGGCTGGTTCGTAATACTTTCCCCAGAAGAGTAGCAACTGGCTTTATATCAAGGGTAATTTAAGCCACTGCCTAAAACCAAAAGCAATCAACCACCAAAAAATGGAAAAAGAGCAGTTTCTTTCATGGTGGGCTCACCTTAACACTAAACTTGCTGTCTGAACTGTTAACAGCTGACTTTACACATCCCCTTTCTAACTGGCTTGCTTGTCCTTAACTTTACCGAGCTGACCTTTGAGCTGCCATTGTTCAATTCACCCTGCTTCTCTAAGGATGGGTACAAAACCTACTCCTTCTCAGCTGGAGTCTCTGTGAGACTGCACAACAGCCAGGTAACCAAAAGGCTGAACAGTGACAAGAAAACTCACTGCATTTGCACACTTGGTACATTCAGTCACCCTCTCATACGGTATAAGTTGTGTGGTTTGTTTGTTTTTAAAAAAAACAGTCACAATGACTTTCAATCTACTGCTCCAACTCCTTAGAGTATAGCCTTTCTACTGTCAGGGGTATCACTGAAAACCTGTTACTAAGAGGATATCTTGATGAGATTTTGTCTGACTTTAGAAACAATAGTTAAGTCCTGCCTCCACCCTCAGGAGCAAAGCCTTACAATGATCAGTGCGATCTCCCCTCACATCCCAGCAGTAGTATGGTTACCTGCTGAATCATCAGCTCAGCCATTTCCAGTTTCTTATGCAAGTCCTCCACATCCAACTTCATAGCTGAGTTCTCAGAAACCAGGGAGCGGAGTTTCTCTGACAGTTCCGAGTTTTGTTGCTTTACTTCCTCATTGCCCTTGCTGAAAGAAACACACCAAAAAATAAAGTGGCAACACTGTACTGTCTAGGGGTTTGCACATGCCCATGTCATAAATTTACAATCTGGTTCTTCACAGCAGCTGGAGTCATAGAAACGTTTGGAAGAGACCTCTGGAGGTCATCTTGTCCAAAATCCCACTCAAAGTGGGACCAGGCTAACACCAGCTCTGGTCAGCCACAGCTCTGTATAGTTGCTGTGAACACCAAGGATGAAAATTCCACAGCTACCCTGGGCAATATGTGTACAGCACTGGAACATATCTAGTGACTTATTATTATTTTTACTTTGAATATACAGCATTCCAAGGCACCTCCTGTGGTCAGTGCCCCTTGCTAAGTTTTGTGTCTGTATTGAGAAGAGGAGCGTTACTCTGGAGTAACATGCAGAACAGGCTTACCTGTGTTTGTACAGTTCTAGTTTCAGGTTGTCTCGCTCCTTCACTAACTCTTTATTATGCTGGAGAAAAAGCAAATGATCGATTTATCTAAATCAAATAAACAAACAGGTAACATAAAATGTTCAAAGATTACCATTTTTTACCTTTAACAGATCAGCTAATGCAGAAAAGGTCAGAACTTCAATAAAACCCTCAGGACAGGTTTGCTCAGAACCTCATCTATAGCTACAGCAGGCTGGCTAGTGCTGTACTCATCAGCCTGTACAAATGATGAAGTTGCCAGGAATTCATCTGCTTGGTCTTGTCAAATATGATGCTACTAACTGGTCATGAGGTTATTTCTGCATACTTCTGGATTAATGTTAATACTGAAGTGTCTGTTTGATGGAGACCCTCCTGGGACGAGGTCTCAGCGACGCTTCTGTTGTGCAGAGCTGGCAGAACTAACGCGGTAAGGTGCCAGATCTGAAGACAACAACTGGACCATATAATTAGTGGTCACAGAAACCTGAAAAGTTTGCCTTGATCATGGAGAATACAGGGTTTTACAAGGTTAATTAACAATCAACAAGGTTAATTTCTACCTCCTCTCTAAGTAAGTCACTACAGACTTTGCAGTAGTACAGTGACAAGCAAATAGCCAAACACAGAGCTGCTGGTTAAGCATAAACAGAGGTGACTCTTACCTTCTCTGCCTGTTTTTGCTGCATAGAGATGGAGGACAAAGTGCGTTCTAGCTCTGATACCCTCTGGCGAGATGACTGTAAACGAGCAGCAAGGTCTTCAGCTTCTCCTGAGCAAGTCAGAGCAGAGACAGTTGAGAGCAGACCACAAAGGGATTTTGGGGGCTGGCTGAACAGCACTTTCTACTTTGTTAACAAGCTCTTAAACACTTCAGAGAGGGCAGCACACCACTGAGAGCTCTGTAAATTAGTAGACCTGGTTCTACTCCTGGCTATACAGGTCATTCACCAGCAACCTGGGGCAGTAAAGCTCTCTGTAAGTACCTTCCTCAATTTTAGAGGGAGATGAAGCTTCCTTTGCAGAACAATAGGCAGTATGTTTATTTTTTTCTACTAGAGTAAATTGTTGAAATTTAGGTGAGAATGAAAGCCTCCGGTAAAACCTACACTAACATGACAGCTGTGTGGGAGGGGTGGTGGAGAAAAGGGAACAAAGTTTTAAAAGAATCTGAAGAAAGTGAGAAAAGAACAGTCTGGGGTAGTCACCAGGCCCAAACAGGGCTGACAGGGCTGTAATGATGCACAAAAGAACCTCAACTGCCATGGGATTACCATGCTCCAGTTTGGGGGCAGATATGATGACAGAAGCAGTGACGGTGCCAAGAATGGCTCATTAAGGAGTCAATGAGCATGGTGAGCTGGCTGCCAGCAACTATCATGCCTGTGACTTGAAATCCACAATTTAGCCAACAGCTTGAGCTGGAGTTTTTGGAGTCCTTTACCTGATTTCTGCCGTGCAGCTTGTTGAGTATGTCCAAGGGCTGTCTGCAACTCGGACTTCTCAGAAACCAGAATTCCAATAGTCTGGATATGAACCTTTGGGGGAAAAAAGTGAGCTCAGTGCAAAAAATCCTTGCTTCTAACTGCAACACCACTGTTACCACAAAAGGATAATTTAGTAAAGAACTCCTGCAATTAAGAGTCTGGCTAACTGGCTCTCCCAGTTTTCCTGAAATAATGCAGAAGCCAAGCGACATTACTATAATGGAAGCTCTGTCTTACCTGTAGCTGTTCCCGCAGTGCTGCTTGCTCTTTAGAAAACTTCTGTTCAAATTCCTTCTTTTCCTGTGCAAACAAATGATCCCTGTTCAGCACAAAATTCTAAACAGTTAACCCTTTTTGTTTTATGTCAAACTAAAAAACAGTGATTCATTGGTAGTACTTCCAGCTTTTAACCAATACCACTATTTTTAAAAGACATTCTTCAGTCTTAACATTATTTGAACTATTTCTTTGTTTATCCACCCCAGAATGGCAACGATGTGTTCCTTATGCTGGCATAAATGTGCCAGTGTTTGGAATACAAACTACTGACAAGGCCTTAAGCTGTACTCTGCTGCTTCCACTGCAGTCCTTTTCAACCTAAATGATTCTGCGTTCTGTAAGACAAGATCACGCAGGCCTGTGCCAAAGTCCACTATGCTTTCTGCTCCTCAGAGAAACAGATACCTACTTCTGTATCTGTCCAAAAATAGGACACACTTTACCTTCTCCAGCTGATTCATTGCTTCTTGGTTCTGTTGTTTCTGTGGAAGAAAACAGATGCACCAGCATTAAGAGCGAGTACTCTCATACTGCTGAAACACATTTCCACTTTAACAAAGTAGGACACATGCCCAGTTAATGCAAACAATTTTCATTATCCTTTTCTGTAGAAGACTACGAAGTTTGTCTTATCTATTAGAAATAATTGATTTGGGCTCCCTTCACTGATACACCAGGTGTGGTTTTTGTTGCTCAGAACATTACCACAGTTGTTCCCAAATACCACTAATGCAGCCCCTGTCTGAGCATCCAACTTGAGTTAAACTTGCACCCCACATCTATGAAGTTAATCGTAATCCTGATATATTAGGATAGTGACCAAAATGCATTCAAAAAAAAAAAAAAGAAAACACAGCGTAGTGTTTTAATTCAGACAAGACCTTAGAATTTTGCAGATTTGTGTGGGGTGGAGTGTTTGCTATTTGCTGCTGGTGTCCTCGTGGCAGTTTCTCTACAGAACTACATAAATAATACTTTTTCCCCTTCCCAAAGGATGGACATTGCTCAGTTTTTACTACCACTATTTCAAACACGTTTTGAAACATGACTACCGATGGAAGAGTGATGGATTACAGGTTTTGATTCTAGCAAAGCCAGTGCAAAACATAACCAGGAAAAGCAAAGACAAGACCACAAATGCAGCAAAGACCCTATATAATTCCAGGCAAAACCATGTTTCATGTGCCTGTCAGAAGCAGGCAAACAAGGAGAATCCTGGGTGGGCAATACCCCTAACAGGTGCCTTTGCAGCCCAGTTAAAAGACAAAAAGGAACAGAATGGAACCACGGTAACTCAAAACCAAAAATAACACAAGAGGGGTTGCGGGGTACACTGGGAAATGCTGAACTTTGGAAAAGGAGTACTGTGAGAGAGGAACAAAACGAGGAAAAGTGCTTCAAACCAAGAAAGGCTCTTTTCAGACTGAAACAAGTCCGCTTAGCTACATTTCATACGGCGTTCAAGCTGAAGGCTGAAAAGCAGCAGCAGGAATCCATGCAAGCCATGGGACAAAGCAGTTCATTCATAGTGCCAAGAGAAGCTGAGGATATGATCAGAAACCAGCACCAGGCTCTCTCTTAGACCTATTGCTCCCACTCTGCTGGTATATTTAGAACAGCATCACCACCTGCCGAAATAGGTTTTCACAGTGCTGCCGGCACTAGAATTCTGTATTTCAGGGACTCAGAACAGAAATAGTTGTTTTATCAGGATGCTTCTCATCCAGGGAAAGCACGATGAGATCAACAGAGCACATTTAAGTGGAAACAACAAAACCGTGTTTCTTGTTCCTTGGATGAGCCAATACATGTGGCCTTAGACTTGGAACTGAACAGGTTTTCCACACAAAGTGCTGTATAAGCAACCTTCCCTGTGGCACTATAAGAGAACCCATAACCTCGCAGACACCCAGAGAGCATGGAGGAGCAGCAGAGACAATATCAAACTGGTTGGTTGGATTGTTTCTTACCAATTCCTCTATCTTTGTAATGAGCTGTTTGTTAGTTAGATTGCTGGAATCTAGGGCTACTGCCAGCTCCTGGTAACGTGTCTGATGGGCACATGCAGAGAGGAGAAAAAGGAAGGGGCAGAAAAGGAGGAGGGGAGGAAAAAAAAGCAATAATTAAAAAGAACAGAAAAATAAATCATTATCACAGTTTGATACAAATCAGATTCTCCAAACAAATCTACGGTTTCAAGAATAGCTGGGACATCAACGTATTTCATCAATTGCTGCTAAGGCTTCTTTTTGACATAAAAGTCCACCAAAACTAAGGACTAGAGCTGTGTGGAGGCCAGATTATCCCCAGTCCCCAAACGGGAAATACCTCAGATACCTGCCTCCTCCCGCTGACCACAACTACCTGATTACAGAGGAAGGCAACACTGGACAGCAATGTATGTGAATTGGATATTCAATTGGGTCTCGTTAACACTGCTGTAAGCACAGAGTCCCAAGTCAGTCATCAAGACTAGCAAATAACAAAATAAAAATTAAAAAAAAATAAAAAATAAAAACAGTCTGAGAACAACTTACTTCCATTTCCTTAATATTTGTGGAAGAAATAGCACTTTCCCCATTCACGTATGATGTAGACTAGAAGAAAAACAGCCAAGTCAGTTTTATTCCCCCAGGCAACGAATCATTATTAAAAACTGACTATCAGAATACTTCCTAAGAGCACCTTTCACTTCAAAGTACCACAGCCAGCCAGAAGAGTATTTTTTCCTGTGTCTAAGGATAGATGCAGACTCCCCCCTGTGACAAGCTGATATGAATTATGCAGATTGACTTCAGATTCTTTGCCACTAAATCAAGAATACATCTTTCCATGAATACGTGCTGTTCATTCATCCCACTCTGCTCCTCTTCCTACTGCTGAAATTTTACATTCCTAAAACTGGAGGTTTTGCTTCTCCGTGCTTAAATATCTTATTGTTCAGTAGGATGGCTGTAGACATCTCCAAGATTGAAGAGCTTTTTCTTGAACTGGCTGCTTAAAGCTCCACATCAGATACCAAGAAAATTATCAGGACAAATGGACCAAAACGAGGCCATACCTGAGAAACCAGGCCATTGAGTTGTTCAGACAACTGGCGGAGACTTTCTGTTGACGAGAGAGACCTGGGAACAAAGAAAGGCCTTGTGATGAAAATTTCTCCCAAAGAACTGCCCCAATCAGTACAGCAGTGGGGAGTAATAAAACTTGAGTTTGTTGGACACTTGGGGATCCTTTTGCAAAGCTGTTTAATAAACGTACGCTCACCTGTTCTCATCCAAAGCATTTTTATGATCCTCAGCTTCATGAATCTGTGGATTGAAACAAAAATTACAAGCCTGTAAAAAAAGATGGGAGTGACATTTGCGAGTGTGTCACTAAGACTTGACTACGTGTGGGCTCAGGTTGCACAGTACCTGTAATTACTGCTCCCCAAAGACAGATAAACTTAACACCACCAACTCAGTTCCTAGCTTGCACATAATTTCTGAGTGTTGAGAGCCCGGGTTTCACGGAATGAAGAGTTAAGCGTTACTGGCTTTGTGTTTGCTGTTACAATTATCAGGATAATCAATGCTGCTTTGCTGGAAAAACTTCAGCTGAGTCTTTTAAGTAGTGAAAGGGAGTGCAGGCTGCTCCAACTGGAGACCTATGTTATTAGGAGAGCTTTCTGCTCATGAAATAGGAGAAAAGGGGAAGAGAACGGCAGCTTTGGAAGGAGCAGAGGCACGTGCATGCTCGTGCCCTCCGCTCTCTCAGACAGATGATGTGCAGAATGCAGTATTTTTACCAGGAGACAATCTGAGCTAGTCACGTCGTAGTTACAAAGATTGTCTCCCTCAGCAGAAACGTGGCCTTGCTAACCAGTATGGCAATATCGGGGGTGAGTCACAAACCTGTGTCAGCTGCATGCTCCCGGGAGCAGGCAGAACAGAACCAGAACTAGGTAGACTGTTGCTGTTAGATAGCACAGGGACATCGGCAGCAAGCTGTTCAGCGTTACGAGTGGCAACATCACTGTCAAAGTACGCCTGTCACAAAACACATCACAGGAATTACAGCCGACATGCGAAACAAAGGGAACGCACACGAGCACCTCGCCTTGTGATAAGGCCCAGGAAAAACAGACAGATGCGAACGATCATTTAGAAACATGTGGAAGGGGATCTGTGCCCACCCCAGAGCAAACAGGAGACTGCATCAACCCACAGACATCATCCCAGACCCAGCCTGAAGAACTGGTGCCCCATAACCAAGCTCACTTCTGTATGTGGGGCAGTAACACCACCCGACTCTAAGCTCACGACCAGCTTTTCTGCAAAGGATTTGTCAAAAAGTGAGCGAGGTCAAAGCCAGGTGGTTGCCACTGCTCTGAAATGCACTGCCTCTCGGGATGCCTCTGGGAACACTGCTCGCCGTACGCACACTGAGATGGGAAGGACAGCCTAGTGACTACCTGCAAACTGGGTCAGCCAAGCTCAGCTGCTCCATCCTGAACTCGGTGATGTTTGTGGCAAGCCGTGAGCCACCAGTTTAGAAACGGGACATTTGTGCACAGGCCAAGCCCAGCATTGCTGGGAGGGGAGCAGGTGCCCCTGGCCCCAGTGGAGCTATGAATCCCGTGACTACAAGAATCTAAGTAGAAGAGGGCCCCAAACTATTTCTGGACAGCGATGCAAGTTCTCATCAGGTGTTCGTGGGAGGATGAACAGTATCTGATGACACCTCTGCCAGGCCCCAGAGAACTGGACAAACCTTGTACAGCACCAGAGAGCTGTAAAGACCCCAAGCAGCACTCTGCTGTTTTATGGCAATTGCTTTTATTTCATCATCCAGCTCTGGTAAGCCAGCATTTAACGACCCTGCGAAGCAAATGACAATCTTTCACCAGGTAACCCCACTAACACACTGCAGCTCTCTGCAACTCCATCTGAAAGAATTCCCTTTTGCTTCGGTCGCTTCCTTCTTGGCAGCCCTCAGGAGAGCAGAACTCCCTTTCTCTCTCAGCGTTCCCTATTCACCTGCTCAGCGCTCCATTCATGACTCAAGCAGCCAGGAGGTGACAGTAACAGGGAAGACAGATTTAGTGAAAGCAACAAGCAGGAAAACTGCAGAGGGAAACAAATGGAATCGTCTCGATTTCGTTTTAGCAGGACAGACACTTGCACTCTCAAGGAGCAATCTATGTTAGGTGCTTAAAGGAAAGTCAGGAATTCCCTTACTTCTTCCAGCTTCAGGTTTACTTCGCCTCTGTTTGCTCAGGCACTCATCGGGATAGAGCACCAGATGGACAAGATACATCTTAAAAATGTTTCCTCAATTTTTTTTGATTGGGACTTTTCTTTGCTTAAGACTTCGAGATGCAAAAACAGGTAACATGCCTTAACCACAGAATGCCTTCCTTCTGCCTCCAAAGGAAAGAGCTTTGAAGTAAATAAATCAAAGGGAAAAAAAAAAAATGAACTGCATAATTTGTTGGAGATGGAAAGGTTTGGGAGCAAACTACTTTCCTGGAAATTATTCTTTGTGAGGTTCAAATACGGTAGAATAAGAAGCTGGTAATTTTGCTCAGCCTAGTCTATAGTAGGATGCATTTGTTTTCACACAAAGGCTCCTATTTTGTTGGGTTTTCTGTGTTTCACAGCCAAGAAAGCTGAAGTGGGTGAGGTGGGAGGGGTCTGCCTCCCATCAGACACCAATGGCAGCAGTTCAGATGCTAACGATCAGCTTTTCTGCCCTATTAGCATCAGTTGAGGCTCTGAACAGCATTTTCCTGACTCAGGATTTTCACAAGACAGCAACTGGAAAGAGAAATCTTTCTCCCATTACAGATTGCAATTAAAGATTAGCTTTCAAGATATCCTTAATACCCCAGACACAATAACCCACAAACTGTGCAACAGACAGTCGGCTCAAAATGCATCTCTCTGGGCTATGGAAGCAGAGAGAAAAATGAAAACACAAGAATAGAAGCAGTAAGTTTTCCATTTTCAGAACAGAACTGAAACTGCAGGCGCAGGTAAGCCTCCCCTGCAGGACAAGATGCCACCCCAGCAGCAGCACTGCACCACCTGTCTTCACCTCAACCTCCAGCACCAACTGAGATCCAACGTACAGAGCTGGGGAGGTGAACTGAAATCAGCCCCTTTGGCAAGGGTAAATCGTCAGCGTGTTTTCTGACGCTACTCAGGCACAAGCCAGGACCCACAAACCTTACACTAAGTCTTCGTGTCACTTAAGCTCAGCTGACACACAGCCTACACACCTAAGGTCCGGATGGAGGAGCTTTCACCCTGCAGCAGCTGTCCTGCCCAACAGCAGTACCACACACACAAATAAAGGAGAAAATGGATCCAAAAGTAATTCAGCCTGTGCTCCATCCCATCCTGCAGGTTTCACTCCATCTCTCTGGTACCCCTGTTGATTCACTTGGTTGTATTTATTGGTGGAAAGGCTTGGATACACAGTAAGTATAATAAGGGGTTACTTTGTGACGGCTAGACTAGAAAAAAAATGGTAGATAAGCTACCAAAATGGTGCAAGGGAAAATGAAAAGCTGAGCTTTGCTACAACAAAAACAAAAGAAAACTCTGGGCTACAAAAGTTTACTTTCCTTAGTTTCTATCACAATTAGATCCTTCTTTAATTAAACTGTCTGCAAATATTTTTTTTAAAGGCGGTTTGCTGACATTTGCTCCTGAGCACATGTAGATTACTTGCTGGAATACTTCCTGCCCTTTCTTCTTCAGTAGCTAAGGAAGAAGCTAAAGCCTGTAAATGCCTGACTTGAAATACCTGACTTCCTGCCTAAACATATTTAAAACCGTGGTACTTGCCAGACTGTACATCACCTGTGCCAGTTTCATCACCCGTCATAAAATGGGTTGGCTGGAATGACTACATAGCTTGTTCAGGGCAGCTGCTTGACGAGGCACGAGCAGAAACATGCCCTTCAGAAGCAAGGCATGAGAGTAAATAAAGCAGTGACACACGGAACAGCAGAAATGCAGACTAAAAAGGCACTACCTCTTCTTAGCGCGGTGTTCCTCAGCAGGTAATTTATTGCTTCACCCCAGATTCCTTTTTCCTTACAGCTCAACTGTCTCAAGGACAAGCATTTGACAAGGTTCACTTTTGCACGTGTTAGGTTTGACAGAAACCAGGAGGAAACAAGCACTTACGAGCAATGGAAATGTGCGTTAACAAACAGCTCCATGTTAATAAAAACAGCAACAAAAACTCAAGCAACTGACAGCAGATAATGCCAGAACAAGGCTCCATCCGAAAATCAAGGTCAGTTTAAACAGAACCCGAAGCATGCAGCGGGGATAGCAAGTCACTGAGAGGGACACGAGCACTGCCTCACCTTCCTCTTGTCCAATGAGGGTATGGCTACCCCATTGGAGCGGTTAAGGTCTGACACCAGCACCTTCAGAATGTTCTGAATCTAAAGGAGGCGAAAGAAAAGTGGAAAGAGAAACGGCTCAGAAAAGGACAGGCAGAAAAATGTCAATCAAAGGCAGCCAAAGAAACTGGCATCCTCCAGCTCCGTAGGAGCACACACCTCAAAGCAGCAGCTCTGGACATACCCAGGGTTGCACTACAGCATCGTATGATCAAACACCGCCTCGCCACGTACCCTGCCTCTAGCATGCTCCTTTCAGGAGTTTTAGCTGCTAACCACTGTAGCACACTTCATACGCTGCTAATACAGGCACACGAGCCATTAATATTACTCTGGCATAACCCTCTTTCAGCTGTGGTTATGCTGTTTGGGAAGCCAAAGAACAAGGCGGAGGCAAATTATTTGGGAGAAGGAATGAGACGCTCACGTTCTCTGGAGACTGTCTGTCATCATTTGTGGGAGTCTCAGGCCTACTTCCTTCTTTAGTTTTTCGTTTTTTCTTGGCTCCCGCAGTTGCTCCAGGGCTATTCTTCTGCTGATATTCCTTCAGCTGTGAAAAAAATAAAATAATCTGAAGTCAAAACAGAATATGCCTTCTATGAGTATAACGTCAAAAACAAAAGGGTAAAAAGATAAAACGTAAGGATGAGAGAAACTGTCTTGAAAGAGACAAAAAAAAAAACCACATTAAAAATAATTCAGAGATGCTTGGAAGTGAGAACTAGCATGATAGGCTTGGCTTATCACAAGTATTACAGAGTAGTAAATATATAACTTTTGTATACAACTGATGAAGTTCCTGGGAAACAAAGAATTTGATAGCCTTTGCTGTAATTGAAAGGAGATGAAAAAATATTTTTAAGTCTAACTAGCAGCAAGGAAAACAAATAAACACCCATTAAGCCTAAATGCAAGGTGGAAAAGCAGTCTGAGAGGAAGAGCTTCCATTCGGGGAAAGAAAGATCACAATCTTCATAGATGATGCAGTAATACAGACACCGGCCTAAGTGTGAACTGAGGGGGTGAGCCACCTCCAATTGATTTTAAAATAATATCCATTTCAGCTCGGCGAAGCTGCTGAGCTCGAAGCTGAATCCTGCCAAGTCTTCTGGTGGTGCACGGAGCCCGAGCAGGTCCCAGGAGTGTCCGTGGGGTGCTGAGGGCAGCAGCCCCCTGCCAGGCAGCCCAAATTGGCCCCGCAGCTGGCAGTGCTGCCACCACCCAGCCGGCCAGGGCCGGGTGGGAAAGCCAAGGTGGCAAAAATACAAGGCGGGATAAAAAGGGCTCCTTTTTATCCGCAGGGTTTCAAAATGGAAGCCCAAGCCGCTCCAGGACACTTTCACAGCCGCTTTGACTTTGACACTGGCACGCCGAGCTGCCGGCACGGACGGGGCTGGGGCTGCCCCGTGGGGACGGAGAAAAAAGAAATAAAATAAAAAATGAAAAAAAAAAATAATTGAAAGAAAGGAGAAGGCCAAACAAACACAGAATCGGGGCGGGAGGGCAGCACCGAACCAGGCCCGGCCTCACCTGGGGCCGCCTCCCCCGGGCTGGGGAAGGCCCGGCCGCAGCGCCCGGCACCGGGGGACACCGGAGGGCACCGGGGGACACTCGGGGACATCCAGGGACACCCGGGGGGCTCCCACCGAGGCCCGGCGGAGCGGAGCGGGCCCTCCCGGTGCCCCTCACCCCTCACCGCAGGAGGCCGGGCCGGGCTCGGCGGCTCCGCTCCTCACGGGGCGCCGCGGCCCGAGCAGCCCGGCGGCTCCCGTCCCGTCCCGTCCCGTCCCGTCCCTATTCCCTCACCTTCTTCTTGGCCGCCGCCAGCTTGCTCTGCCTGCTGCCGTCCGCCATGGCCGGGCCCGGGCCACGTCAGCCGCCGAGGGGAGCGGCGGAGGCAGCCGCCAGGCTCCGCCTTGGCCCCTCCCGGTCCCCTCCCGGTCCCTTCCCGGTCCCCTCCCGGCCCTAATGGGGCCGAGCCCGGCTGGGATCGGCCCGGTTCGGAGCCTACGGACCAGGCACCCCCTCCTGCAGCTTCTGGCATGCTGGGGTGGCCAGGCACGGCTCGGGGTGCCGAGCCCGTCAGCCCCAGGCACAGCTCAGGGGCTCAAACCCATCGGTTCCAGCCCCGTTCCTCGCTTCGGCTCTGCCCCAGCCGCTTGGTGTCCCCAGGGCAGCACCCAGGGGGGCTCTGAGGGGCGCTGCGGGGTCTGGTTGGCGGTCACGGTGGCGGGGCGCTGGCTGCTCCCTCACCAGGGCCCCCAGAGCTCCTGCTGAGAGCCCTCAGGCGGCCACAGCACCAGGCTGGGGGCGGGTGAGGGGCTTTGAGGCGCTGCTGGAAGCGCTGGGTGCCGGTGTTAATTGGGATAATTACACCGCGCCTCACCTAAACGCCACCTCTACTCACACACAGATACATCATTGTGCCACCTAAGCACTACCTTTAATTACACACAGATACGTTTATTATACCACCCTAAACGCCACCTTTAATTACACGCAGATACATTTATTACACCACCCAAACACCACCTCTAATTACACACAAATACATTTATTCTCGACCCAGGCCCTGTCAGCCCTCGAGGCGCCGAGAACTACCCGCCCCAGCATGCCCCGCGCCGGGGGCCGCCTACAACTCCCAGCACCCCCCGCGGCTCCTGTGGCATTGGCGGGCAGCGGCCGCCCTGGCGGAGGGGCTCCCGCAGGGCTCGGGGCGCTGCGCGCCTCAGGCCCGCCGGTAGGAGCCGGGCCCCGCTGCCCCCTTCCCTTTAACCCTTTTCTCCTTCCCCACCCGCCCTTGACAGCCGCCTTTTGCTTTGCAGGTCCCTCGGCGGCCCCCGGAGGAGCGGCGGCGGCGGCTTCAAGTCCCCGGTGAGTGCCCGGGGCCGGGCCGCGGCCTTTGGGTGGGCGCTGCCGGCCTGCCCCGGGCGGGGCCGGCACCTCAGGGAGCCCGGAGCGCCCCGGGAATGGCTGCCCCGCCGATATTTGAGGGGTGCTCGGCCCCGGCACCTCGGGAGCAGGCGGTGGGTGCTGTAACGTGTCTGTCCGTGGCTCTGTCCGTCTGTCTGTCCATGTCCGTGCCCCCAGGTCCCGGCCTCAGCCTCCTGCCGCCCTCCCGAGGCCACCGGAGAAGCCCTGCGCCGGGAGATCGAGGAGCTGCGGCAGAAGGAGCTCGCTCTGGACCAGGAGATCGCCCAGCTGATGGCTGAGTATGTCCTCGGGAGCGCGATGTCTCTGCTGTTTTGGGTTTAAAGCGTGCTGTGGTGCGGTAATTAGAGCTGAAGGGGTCTGTGGTGGTGCTGTTCTTGTCCCAGTGCTGCTCAGGGTTGGTTACAGCATTGGCTTGAATTGCAGGACTGGTAAAGACAACAGAGGATCCTTTACGGTTCGTTTGGTAAAGGAGAACAAATTCTACTGAGAGCTTGGTTAAGGAAACTTTAACTTTACCTTGGATCTTGCTGAGGGAATTAAGTGTATGTTGGAAACGAATAACTTTAATTGTCGTGGTACTATGGGATGTCATGCCACCAGAAGCGCTTGTTCACGTGAGGCTTAGAACTGTGATTGTGCCTTGTATGGCCTGCCACATCTAGTCCTGGATAACCTTCCTTTGTTTTTCCTTCTTGGAGCAATGTGCACTCTTTCTATGCATAAAGTGCTTACCGTGCAGCAGCAGCAATCCCTCTGTGTCATTTTTGATTTTTCTGGTTTTGTTGCAGAGGCTACAGCCTGGAGGAGTTGGAGAAACACATCGCTCTGCTCCATGAGTATAACGACATTAAAGATGCCGGTCAGATGCTGCTGGGCAAGCTGGGTAAGGAATAACTCTTGTTATTTTCTTGGAATGTTCTTAGAACTGATTCAAATTAGAACTTAGAACATATGAACTAAAGTAGTGGGGCAAGCAGGGAGCATAGCTGCAAAATCTTTGATTGGTTTCTTAGCTATGGGAGGTTCTATGACTTGCTCTTTGTTTAATGAAATCAACGGTATTTATTTCTTTTCTAGCTGTTATCCGAGGGGTTACTACAAAGCAGCTGTACCCTGAATATGATCTGGAGCTCAGTGACTAGCACCGAACCTGAAGGCTGCCGTATCCTGCAATGACTGTTACTGGCCCATTTTGTGCTGTCATTCCTGTTTAGAACCAGCACGAGGTTGTCTCAGGTGTGTGTGTGTGTAAACTTCTAGGAGTGCTGTTAACAGCCTTGTTCTAAGAGGCTTTGGAGTGCCAAATTATTAATCTCTCAACTGGTTCCTGCTTGTGGGAAGGGGCGTTGGAGATGTGGACTTTTGGATAAATTTGGTTTTGTATGCTACCTGATCACCGCTATTTTTATTTTTTTATTGGAAATGTAATTCAAGGATGGTGCAAAGACTGTTCCCATTGAGTCTTTACCTCTCTTCAGCATCCAGGGTCAGTTTGGATATGCTGATCTGCAGGTGGGAGAGCTACTGCTGAATGGATGGAGGAAGCGAGGGCATACGAATGTGCAATGGAATGGCTGCTTTGAAGGAAAAGAGAAACCCTCAGAAATAGGGAGGGCAGAGGGTTGAAGTTGTTTGGTTTTGTTTTGCTTTTGAGGATTGGATCTGGAGAAGTTTGAGTGTTTTATATTTTTGTACTTAACTGCTCAGGTACCTAGAGATTTTTGTATCCTTTCTACAGTGAAATGTGAAGTTGTATTGAACTACCCAATCTGAATAAAGCAGCTCTCACATCTCTCAGCAATTCACTTTAAAAGCCTGGGAAGCATGAAATGAACTGGGGAACAAATCCTGAAAATGTGTTCTAAGACAACTTTGAGATCTATTATTCAGATCTTGTTTGGGGACTCAGTGGAGGCAGTGTGACAGTAACGGTTAGGGGCAGAATTCCCTTAGCTCACTTCTAAATCCAGAGTCACTGAAAGTGAGCAGTGTCCTAAAATGCAAAATAGTGTTGAGAGCGTGAATGTTTCAGTGTCAGGTGCTAGGACTGAGGGTGACTGTACGGCCTAAATTTGGCTACTTCGTGCAGTTTTAGGAGCGCTGGTGCAGCTGTAGCCGTGCCGGCGTTCTGCCAGCCCTGAGACTCACACTTCTGCAGGAATGATTTACGCTTCAGTCAGCACAAGACAGCCGTCAGTGGAAGGTGTCCTGATCTCCATCCATTGTCCACGATGGATGAGCGCACACAAACCCAGCCAGCTAAGAGCAAGTTGCCCTTGGTGAGTCTGCAGCAGGCACAGGAACGTGCCACATGGCGGCAGCTGTGCTCCACGGCTGTCTTGGCTGCTACTTGCAGTGCAGGGAGAGCCAGAAGAATGGGAAGAGTCCAGGGTTTGAGTTAAGGACTTCAGGGATGCTTCAGGCCTCCCAGAGTTGCTCCTTATACTTTCAGGGCTACCCCTGAATACCTTTGATACTAAAAAAAAGCTCTTTTTTTTTTTTTCCTAGGGTGGGACCCTAGGAAACATGTGTGTTTAACACAGTGTGAACATATGTGTTAATCTGCTGCTGCTTTTTGTGCCATATGAATTTTTTTTGACACTTTATAGTGTTTTACTCCCCTTGGTGACAACAACTACGATTTTCAGCGTACTTAAGTGCTGTGGATTCCTCACAGCAGACACAATGCTGATGCCACGAACTCCAGTGATTGGAGAAAAGTAATTACCCCTTCCCTGCTTATCTTAGCAGAGAATCAATATTGGGTGAGCAACAAAGCCTGTCCAAAAATAACAGCTGCGTGGCAGAGCAGCATGGCCTGGGACACCAGCTAGCAGCCACAGCATTGCTGTGTACTCACGGGAGTTCAGCACAACATTATTTTCCTGCATGTGCTTCTTTATTAAGACAAGAGCTCTGAAACACTAGATTAGGACTCTCTCAACACCGTGGATGTCATACAGCTTGCTTACACACATTTCTGCTGTGACAACAGATTTAGGGGAAGGTCAGTGCTGTTGTTTGCCTGCTTGTTTTTGGGGGGGATGTTTATTTTTTTTACCTATGCAGCCAGCACTAAATTGAAGTGGCTTGGCATTGTAGCTGCTGGTGCTGCAGCTCTAACAGTGCGACGGCCCCCTGGCGTTGTAGCTGGGGTGGAAGTTGAGGGTGTCATGGGGGGTGATGAAGTTGTCTGGGCCAGTGACGCGGCTCTTCTCCAGGTAGGTGTTGAGCCCGTTGTCTCTGTACATGCCGCACTGCGCCAGAGTGTTCGAAAACGCGTGCGAGGTGACGTGCAAGGTGGTCTGTGGGAAGGAGAAACGGGAGGAAGGAGATGATTTACATGCCAACACCAGCAGCACCTGCAGTTTGCACAAGTCTGGACAAAGCTGTAAGGGTTCTTCATCTCAAGGCACCTCAAGGAGTTCATTGTCATGGGATGGGGATCTGAGATGGCTCAGAGCTGCTGGGTCTGCCAGTGGCTGCTGAATGCCATCTCTGAGATGTGGCACCAAAACCTCCTAGCCTGGCTGCTTTGTGGCAGGAGGGAGGTTTGCTCTGCCTTGGCCTGGAAGCTTTTATGGAGGACATGGACCTGGGAAGAAGAAAATGAACCCAGCACTGGCAGTGTGGTGTCATTAACCACAGACCCTTGGGATGCTCCAGCTCAGCGTGCCAGCACCAGCTCTCCCTTACACCAAACTGGGGGGCTTTGTGAACTGGGGGGGGGGGGCTTCGCGAGCCTTGGGAGGGTGGCAAAAGCCCCCCCAGGAGGCCCGAGGGGGTGGCCGAGACCCGTTGGAGTCACAGGACCCCGGGGAACGGCTCGGGCTCGCACCTACCGGCACCTCGTGCACCGTGGGGGCTCTGCTGCCATAGGCCTGATTGCTGGTCCGGTACAGGGGGTGCTGCTGCCTGCGGGGGGGAGGACACAGAGCATCAAAACGGGGGGGAACCGGGGAGGGTTTGGGGCCGGGGGGAGCCAGGGCTGCGCTCACCGGGAGCCGGCGGGGTGCGGGGGTACCGGGTACCGGGAGCCGGGGACTCCCGGGGCATCCGGACGGGACATGGGGACCGGGGGGACCTGGAGGGACCTGGGGGGACCGGAGGGGTTCGGGGGGAACCAGGAGGGACCGGAGGGGGCAGCAGCACGGGGGGGTCGTGGGGCGGTGGAAGCGGAAGGCTCCGCTCCTCTTCCTCTTCCTCCCACGGGCTCGGATCATGGCGCTGCCGCGGATCCTGCGGGCAGGTGAGGGCTCGGGCTAGTGCTGAACCGAGCTAAACTGAGCTAAACCGGGCTAAACCGAGCCGTGCCCGGCAGTGTGACCGCTGTCCTTCTCTCCCCGCAGCCGCCCCCCGGCTCTACAGCAGCCTCCCGGCCCCGGTGCCGGTCCCAGCCCCGGCCCCAGCCGCCCGGTCCCCCGGTCCCGGTGAGTGCTGCCGAGCCCCGGCCCCTTTCCCCTGTCCCAGGGCTTTGCTCCTGCCCCTGCCAGCTCGGGAGGTTGGGAGCGATGGTTGGGGTTTTTGTCCTTGTCGCAGCTGCGGGTGACGGGCTGCTGAGCGAGCCTCTGAGCCACCCCGACTTCTTCAACGTGAAGGAGCTCTTCTCCATGAAGGATCTCTTCAATGCCCGGGTGCACCTGGGGCACAAAAAGGGCTGTCGGCATAGGTGAGTGCTGCCCGTCTTCGTGATCCGGCACTTGTTCACTTCACGAGTGTGTCCGCAGTCTACACAAGCCTTTGGAGGTGGCATTGAGCCAGGCAGGGGTTGGGGCAGCTCACACAGCCCACCTTTTCCATCCGTTTCCCCGTTTCGTGCCCTACAAAAGCGCAGGGACCCCGAGCTGAGCACGGTGTCAGACCCACAGCCCCTCTGCACCCAGGTGGGACAGACACGGATGGATGCAGAGAGCAGCCCTGGTGTCGGCCGGGAGTTGGGGTGTGGGGCCAGGAATTTCTGCTCGATGTAGCCCCACGGCCCCGTGTGTCGCCCGCCCTCTGCCCCCGCAGGTTCATGGAGCCCTACATCTTCGGCTGCCGCCTGGATCAGGACATCATCGACTTGGACCAGACGATGGATCATCTCCAGCTGGCCCTCAACTTCACCGCCCACATCGCCTACCGCAAGGGCATCATCCTCTTCATCAGCCGCAACCGCCAGTTCTGCCACCTGGTCGAGAGCACGGCAAGGGAGTGCGGGGAGTACGCGCACACGCGCTACTGGCAGGGCGGCCTGCTCACCAACGCCCACATCCAATTCGGGTCCGGCGTCCGCCTGCCCGACCTCATAATCTTCCTCAGCAGCCTCAACAACGTCTTTGAGCCCCACGTGGCCATCCGGGATGCCGCCAAGATGAACATCCCCACGGTGGGGGTGGTGGACACGAACTGTAACCCCTCCCTCATCACCTACCCCATCCCCGGGAACGACGACAGCCCCAGCGCCATGGAGCTCTACTGCAAGCTCTTCAAGATGACCATCATTCGTGCAAAGGACTACAGGAAGCAGAGGGAGGTCTTCCACAAGCTCCAGAGCAAAGAAGAGGACAATTAGAGCCACTTCGTGCTGGCTGAGGGACAGACATGACTGTGCCCAGCAGCTGGAAATGGGTGTCCTGCTCTGCTCCCATGGCTGCTGCACCCACAGCATCGCTCTGGTCCTGCACCCAGAGCTCTGCTTTCAGCAGAGCAGTGCTGAGGGATGTCTCCAGCTCAGAAATAGTTTGGCTGGAGCGTTCTGAGGGGAGACGGAGCAGGGCCAGTCTCAGCTCTGTCCTTGTTTGGCCCTGTTGCAAGGAGGCACCTCTGTCCTGAGGCCGTCCTGTTCCTGAGCTAATGGTCTGGCATGAAACCATGCGTATCGCGCACCTCTTTTTGTGACAAATAAAGGGTTTTGATCCTTTTTCTTTCTTCCTGTTACATGTGACGGTGGGGAAATCTCTGGCAAACGTTCATGCTCACAAGATGAGGGGAAAAATGGGCTGCTGGTGCTCCATCCTGGGGACCCTCAGGGGGCAGGGGGCTGTGCAAAGCTGGCCTGTGCATCACGGGGGTGTCGGGCCCCTTGGGGTCAAGCATCCACCACAACGGTCTGATGAAAAGAAATAAAAGGTTTCCCTTTTTCCCAAAGAAAAGGGAAACCCAGCCCATAACATGCCCTGTGCCTCTATGGAGGCCTTAGGGCAGCCCCACAGTGTGGACGTCAGGCACAGGGAGGGGAAGAGCCCCTGGGGAAGGTGTCCCAGTGTCCCCATGAGAGCAATGACAGCAATAAAGCTCCTGATTTTGTGACCCTGCTGAGTGGGAACCCGACCTTTCGGATGCTTCTTTTCTCTCTTTCCAGAAGAAGGTGACAATTTGTAGCTCTTTCACCTACCCAAAGCGGAGGTTAATTTGTATAATTACCTAAACATGCTTTTCTCCCACTCAGGTGTTTTTTTATGAATTCTTTTACCTTTTTATAGTGCCAAACTTTAAAAATATGTGACCATTGGCCTCAGGTTGTGCCAGGAGAGGTTCAGGTGGGAAATGAGGAGACATTTCTCCTCAGAAAGAGCAGTCAGACAACAGGACGGGTTGCCCAGGGAGGTGGTGGAGTCCCCATCCCTGGGGGTGTTCAAGGAGAGGTTGGACGCGGTGCTTGGGGACATGGCTCAGTGGTGGTACTGGTGGCATGGACCAGCAGATCCTGGAGGCCTTTTCCAGCCCTACAGCCCCGTGCCTCCATCTCCCCGTGTCCTTTAGGGGCCGCCTCTCGCCCTCCGGCCCGGCAGGCGGCGGCCGCGTCCCTCACGGGGCGTCCCCACCGCCCGCCCTTTATAAGCGGGAGGCGGGCACGGGCCCGGCCTTTCGGAGCGGGGAGCGGGGAGAGGAGCGGGAACGGGGCTAGGCTGGGATGAGGGAGCTCCGGGGAGGCCCCGCCATGGTGCTGGGAGCCGGCACCGAGCTGCAGAGGCGCCTCAGCTCCGCCACGGGGCCCCGCGGATGGGCCGCTGAGGGGGCCCGGGCGGGAGGAGGAGGAAGGAGCCGGGAGATGAAGGTCGGGAGCCGCCGTGGGCGATGAGGGGGGACTGGGATCGGGGGGGACAGGGAGCGTGGTTGGGGTGTGCTGTGGTGGCCTGTGGCCTCCTCGGGATTTAAACGTTAAAGATTCGAGTAATTTTAAGGGGATCTGCTTAGCAAGTTACATTTTTTGGTTTTAGTCTTTTTTTCCTGAGATGCTGTTAAGTGGTATAGCTCATAAAGAAGCTTGTTGTGTAATTAGCAAAGCATCACATTCTTCCTCGTTTTTTTATTCCTCTTCCTGTTCCCTTGCAGAAGGCAGAGGGTGAAATGAGCGAGATTTTTCAGCATGGGGAAGATCTTCCAGCATGAAACACCAAGGGTAAGTAACGCTGAACACGAGGCCTCTCCAGGTCCCAAGCTGTGAGGAAAAGCTGGTTGCTGCTGGCAAACGAGTTTCAGGCACCTCATAAACTTATATAAGTGCTGAGCTACATTTAGTGTCACTGTCTGCACCAAATACCTTTCTAATACAACTTTAGGAGTAAGCAATAGAATCTTGTTATAAATACCCACAATACAGCTGTTCAGTCTTTGTGTGCTTGTTTTTTTTTGAAATTGCTTCCTGCCACAGGCGTTGCGAAGGTGGCTGCTGTGGCACCTCCGCGTCATTAGGTGGCAGAGAGAGACAGGCTATGTTCTACGCTCGCTTGTTCCGAAACCCGTGAGCACTCGAGTGATTGATAGCCTGACACTGCAGATAGGCTGGTTTTGTTAGGAGGCTTCTGAGAAACTAAATCTCTCCTGTTTTTTTTTTAATTGCGTAAAGTGTGAGAGCTCTATGTAGTATAACAGAAAGCTGTTCTGTATGTGCTGTATTAAATGTGCAAGTCTTGGGGGGTTGCATGCTGGCAGCCCCAACCCTAATGCTGTCTAAAATATGCCCACACTATGCATTTAGTTCTTCAGCTCCTCTCTTTTACTGGGCCTTTCAATTTCTTAGTGAAAATAACCGTATAACCAGGCTTTGAAGCATGCCTCAATAGCTATCATAAATTCTCCGTGTATTTTTTCCTCTTTCAGAGAAAGGTGTGTGAAGTGGCAGACCCAGGAGGTCTTATCCAGGATGGGAGGTCTTCTCCAAGACCTGAGGTGAGCAGTTGCAGATGGGAATTCGTGTGCTGAGAGGCTCCATGCCCTGCCCCAGTCGTGTTGCAGATGTGGCTGCAGTGCCATGTTTGTGTCATTAGGTGGCAGAAAGGAAAAGGCGACGTCTTTGCTAGTGCTCTGAAACCTGTGAGCACTCAGAAATGGCGAGCAACCTGACACTTCTTTCTAGCTTGCTCTTTTTTAATGTTAATCTTAAATCTTGCAGTTTGGACAGCTGTGTAGGGACAGGGTGCGGAAGCTAGTCCTATCTGTCGGTGTGACAGTCATTCTCAATAAACACCTTGTTTGTGTAGCAGATGAGAGATGTGACTGACTTATCTACTACCAAATGTCAGCAGTCCTGTGTGCTCATTATGCTGAGCTGCAGTCTTGAAAATTCAGTAGCTTCCTTGGTGTCTTGCTCTGCTTCCATGGAAATACCGGGCTGCAAAGAGTATTTTTCTTTCCAGGCTGTGCTTTTTTCTGCTGCATTGTCTAAGAATGAGGCAGAGGGAGGACACTGAGCCTGAATTCCAAGTTAGCTACTGCTTCTTTAAAATTCCTTAGAGTCGTTTAACTTGTGGCTTACATCCATTTTTCTTGCTTTTGATCTCTTTTGCTATGAATCTAATTACCATCTGTTCTTTAATAGGAAATTATGAAGGCAGTTGTTTGAGAAGACACTTCCACAGAAAAAAGGTAAGGCTTTGGAATCTGTGATAAAAAGCAACTGAATTTTGGTTTTGGCTAGAACTGAACTTAAATTTTGCTAACATGTTCTGTGTTGAAAGCTAATTTGGGTTTCTTGTATATCATGTCTTTTATTGGCATGAAGAGATGGCCAACTCCAGTATTTATTCTAATAGTCCTGACTCCTTGGAGAGTTTGATGTCATGACATCTTAATATCATTAGGGGGAGGAGATGAATGGGCTTCCTGTGCCTGAAACTTGCAACTGCTCAGAGATTTTAACTTGACATTGTTCACATGTGTACCTCTCGAGAGAGAATCAGCGGAAGATGGAGCAAATTTCCTTGGAAAGATAGTTAGAATGATGTCAGCTTTAATCACATCGGGGAGGAAGGTCCTTTTGCTATTTTTTTATTTTATTTTTTTTTGCAAGGACAAACAGAAGTGACAGCTCTATCCTTGAGTTCTATTTTTGCCTTGAACACAGTCCTTTGTGGCCTGTGAGACATCCTTGCTTTGATGTCTGTTCCATCTGGAAAGGGAGGATAGCAATATAATGCAGCTCTTGAGTTTTGCAGGGTTTTAGCATGTGGATATTGAGAATCCACTCTACCTGGGAGTGGAGTAGATGAGGGAAGCAGGCACTTCAGTTTGTTTTCAAAGTATTGGCATGGTCTAGAAGCAGTTGGGTGTGGATTCAGGATATGGAGAAAATGGTAACCTTCCCCTAACATTTGTTGAACTCTCAGCCAACAACTTGACTAGCAAGGGTGCTAATCAGCTTGACCAAAAGATGCAATCAGCACCTTTGGCAATCTTCTGAAGTGTGGCTATAAAATCACTCTTGCTTTGGTGAGTTAAAAAAACAAAAACAACTTAAGATGTTTTTTCTTCTTACAGTTGCATTTGAGAACGGGTCTGAGTTGTTCTGCAGTTTGCATCAAATATTGAAGGTAAGTATCATCTCTTGGAAACATACACAAGCATCAGTGTGTTACTAAAGCAGCATCAGGGTAGGTGTTTTGGGTTGGTACATCTTGTCCCCTCTGTCTTCTGACAGGACATGTGCAAATCAAAAACTTGCTCAAGGTGGCATGTTAAGATCTTTCCAGAAGTGTGCATTTAAAATTCAGGGTTTTCACTTTTTTTTCTCTGAGAAACCTGCACTGTAGGTGGAGTGCTTTGGAATTAAGCTCATGCACATGAACTTAGCAGACAAAAAAAAAAGTGGTTGTGCATGTAAGAGTTGGTTGGGGGAGGTGTTCCTGTAGAAATCTTTTTTTTAGGTATTCGAGAAACCAGAAGTTCAACAGATGAAAATTACTTTGTCATTGACACAGATAAGAGCTATGCAATTTCATATTGCTGATGTTAATAAATGTTATAGAAGTAACAGCAGTAAAGCACAGCACTTCTTGTAAGAGTCTGTACAGTGAAGTGCTGTTTAATCAAAGACAATTTGCTGAGGAACATGCTCTGTGTTGTAAAGTGTCAGAAATGATCAAAACAGGGTCTCCTACTGCAGTTTGACACAACGCTACTGGAAAAAATGTCACAAATCTGCAAGTGACGAGATGATGTCTTAGATGTTCTGTAGAAATAAAAAGATAGATTACAATGCCTTTCAGTAAATGTAGAAGGGAGTGCTTCCTGAGACAAGAGGCAGCTTCCTTGTTTATCATGGTCTAACTGGTAACACATTACACAAAAAGCAAAAATATCATTGGGAACAATGCAACTTTTTACTTGTTTTCTGCTGTGTTTGTATGTTAGCATGCTGGAAGTGAGAGAAGCTTTGGCTACATGTAGCTTTGTGAAACTCTTGAGGTTTTGCAGTGACTAATAGCTTGACAAAATCTGGCAGTGCTAAATGTTGGAAAATGTCCTCATTAAATGGGCATTATGAGGGCCAAAGGTGCCATTAACCAAGCGGGTAGCTGCTGGCTGCAAAATGAGCCATTTAATTGGGAAAAGTCACTGCCTACCAGCAGTGGTGTTGGAAAAGAATGCTAATAAGGTTGTTGGGGATATGGGTATGCAGGGAGGCATGCCTTAAGATGCG